ATTCTTTAATTTATAATTTATTAGCGTTAATTTTAAATTATTATTACTTCGTCGCTAGATCTAGTAATACTTATAATTAATTTAACTCGAGTATATTTAATACGATATTAAGGCCTTTTTAATTAATAATATAAAAGAATATATTATACTTTTTATTTTAATTCTAGCTATCTATTAATTAATAGTTTAATAAATACGCGTTATAATAATATATACTTTAATTACTTAACGCTTTTAATTATAATAAAATAATATCGTAAGATTTTAAGTCTTATTAAATTATAAATTTTTATAAAATTAAATTAATATACGCTTTAGTATCGAGTAGAGTAACGAGTTATCTTTATTTACTCTAAAGCTTTATCTACTTCTTCGTAAAAATAAAAGAAATTATCTTTATTAATTATCGTTCTTATCTCGCTTCTAAGGCGATTATAAGGCCGGATCTTTTTTTATTAATATTACGCCGATATAGACTATAGATAATTTATCGAGATCTAGATACTTAGATATCTAATAACTCTATTTTCTATAATAGAAATAATTATTCTTCTTATAATTAGAGTTAAAGAATTCGACTTTATACTTTATATTATTATCTTAAATACGCGCTATATAAGCGCCGCCGTTTAAAGCTAATTTAGATTTCGAAATTTAATTCTCTAAAGATTTATCCTTAGCGGATTCCCTCGAAGATTTTAAATAGAAATTATTATTAAAGTATACGCGTTTTAAAATCTTTTTCTATATAATAATCTAAGTAAGAATTTCTTTTTATTATTTCGATATACTACTAGTACTTAGAATCTTATTTTTAAACTCTAATTTAAGCTTAGCTAAAAAGAAATTAATTCGATATTTCTTAAAAAATAAAATTATATAAACCTCTAACTTCTTTAAATAAATTTTAAAAATAAATATCTTTTAATTAAAGCGTTATTTAGCCTTCTTCTACTTTTCGTATATAAGAAGATAGCGATTTACTAGATTCGCTATTAAATTAAGTAAAAACTACTTAAAGAATTTAAAAGTTATATTCTCTAAATTATAGATTTAATAGTATCTATATTATTAAATATTAGAGTTATCTTCTAAAAATTATATATAATAAATAATTCTTAATTAGTTAATAATAAAATATTTAGAACTTATAAAAAACTTAATTTCGACTTCGCGAAATTAGCGTAGATACTCTTTCTTATTAATATTCTTATAAAAATATATTCTTTTAAAGCGAAGTATTTTCGTCTTAATTAATATATTTATTAGAGATACGATAGTAATTAATATAAATAGATCTTCGCTAATTATAGATAATAAGCTAGCGTTATAAAGCTCGCGATTATAAATCTTTAATATAGTTAATTCTTATTTTTATTCTAAATAATAATTTTCGACTTTAATAATTATAAGATATTATTTTATAGTAAGATCTTCTATTAATAAGAAATTCTTAAACTTATTATCGACGCTATAGCGGCTTTTAATATTATCTTCGTTTTTTATTATATAATTTAGAGGTAAACTCGATATTATAATAATAATAAATCTTTTTCTTTAAAAGATAAAGAGATTAAAATTATAAGAGCGTAATCTATTAGCGGTTAGCTAGTAGATATAGACTATAAAAGATATAATATCGTTATAAAATTTAATAGTATATTTAATAATAGAACTAATCTCTAAGAAATATTAAAACTCTAGAGTATACGAAGTAGATCTATATTCGTTAAGTCTCTAGATATATAAGATACGTTATTAAAACTAGACCCTAAAAGAAACTCTAACGTAGTATATGCGATGTCGGCGCCTTAACGTAAGTAGCGCTAAGGCTCATAACGCATCAGGCCTAACAATTACTTCGCTCTCCGCTCTACTCTCTACTCTACTCTTCGTAAGTTCGATTAAAAAATAAGGAGAGACTATAAAAAATAGAGAGAGATTACGACGTTTAATTGAAGTAATAAACTAACTAGCGAGGCTACGATATTTTCTTTAATACGCTATATTATTAATTCGGCGAGTACTATAGCGATAAGTACTATAGCGATTATCTCGAGAATTTATATACTTTAAGAGAATTTCTATATAGTATCTACGCGTCTATTAAGACGTATAGCGTTTTTAAATACTAGTATCGCTGCTATAGCTAAGTTAGCTAAGTTTTTTAATAGAATAAAATTAAAAGTCTACTTCTTAATTACTATATTATAACTTCTAATTTAACGAGAGTCTATTTAACTATAATTAGTCTTAGTACTTAGACTCTATTCGAAAGAGTTTAATAAGTTAATAGTAGTAATAGATCGGAAAAATCTTTTTCCGAGCCGAAAATTCGTTATATTCTTCCTCTAGAGTCTAAGTAGAAAATTCTAAAATCGCTACGGAGGTTGTTATCGAAAGTTCTAAACATACGCTAAAACCCTTAGCATTCTTGGCATTTCTAGCATTTTAGCAAATTTCTTGAATAGCTTTATAATCTATATACGATGTTTTATATAATTACGTATATACTAATTTACTTAGTTAGCTAAATTATAGAATCGCTTATTTCCTTCTTTACGATCTTTTCGATACTCGTTATCGCCTCGTAAACGAATAACTTTAGCAATATATCTAGATATACGCTCTATCTACTTCTAAATTCTCTATTATTATAAATAAAGTCTTTTTATAACTATAGCGATTCTTTTATATAGCGATAAGAATAGTACTCTTAAGTTTAAGTATAATAACGGTAGATTATCTAGATTTAAGAGTATCGATAATATATAATAGCTTTAATTTTTTAAATTTATTAAGGTTATATTCTTTAATATAAGCTTAATTCTAAAGACGTTTAATTATATAATAAGATATTTTAGTAATTATAGTAACGATTTTATTTATAATTCTAGCTTCGATTAAAGCGAGTATCTATAGTCTAGTTTTATCGTTATAATTAATACTCTAAGTATTAAATATTATTTAAGATTAGAGAGTAATAGAAAGATATTTACTTACTATATTAAATATATATTAAATATATACTAGAAAGCTTTATATTCTCTTTCTATTCTCTATTTCTTATAATATTCTTATTAGCGTAAGTATATATAATATTATTCTATTATCGCTACTATATATATAGTAATATCGTAATTATATATCTTATATATATATAGTAATATCGCTACTATATACTTTATATATATATACTTTATATAAGTATTAATATCGCTACTATATAAAGTATTAATATTTAAGATATTTAAGATATTTACTAAGAATACTAAGGGTTTTAAAGCTCTAATTCTAATATTTAGAACTTTCGATGGCAACCTCCGTATATTAACCGTTATTTTATATAGGATCCTTATTAAAATTAACCGAAATAGAAAATAAACAGTTTCTTTTAAATATAACTTTTTATTAAGAATTCTAATAAAGAAATAGTCTTTTATAAAATAACTATTTAAATACCGTAGAATTAGATTTTTTTTTTCGATTTTTAATAAAATAGCTTAATTAATTATTTTTAGAAGATTTAAATTAGAGTTTTAACCGACATTTCTTCTCCAGACTTACGCTAGGCTCCATTCGGGCTAGCTTCTTAGCGGCTTAATACTCTAATAACTTCGGCATATATATTACTTAGCAACCTTTATAATTAATATTCTATTTATATGATATCACTAATATCATTATTCGATATACGATTTATTCCCTAAAAATTAGAGTTTTAAAAACTATATTTTTAACCCCCCTCTTATTTTTTAACGTATATCGATAAAACTCTAAAAATAATATCAAAATACTCGTTATATTTATAAGTCTATTTAAGAATATTATTATAGAATTCTCTAGGCCAGATTTTACACATTAATATTTCTTATATTTTTATTTAAAATTTATTTATCTAAGCTATTATCTTAAATAATTTATTAAATAATTTATAATTTTAAATTATTATTTAATAATTTATAGATATAAGTAAAGATATATAAAGTTTTATTAATATTATTTTTTAATTTATTTAATTTATTTAATTTATTTAATTATTTTAAGATTTTTAGAAAAAAATTAAAAAGCTTAATAACTTTAAAGACTTCGAACTTCAAATTTAGAAAATTTAATATATTATTATTATATATATTAAGAATATATTTATAAATTTTTATAAAAAGTAATAGTTCGGTTATCGAGTAATAATATATCGAAGTTATAGATTATTAAGTCTTTAAAATAATTTCGGGGTAGCTTCGGGGTAGCTCGCTCCGAGGCAAAGCTACCCCGGAACTTACTAATACTAATATATACCTAGGGGTAAATATCTCATATCAGTCAAACCATCAAAAAAACGAGGCTTGATAGGATTTCCTACTCAGGGCCAGTTCGGTAACCACATATTTTGAAAATAACCCCTACTTATTTTCACTAAATAACGCCACCTCTTGGCAAATGAAAATATGGCTTAAAAATGATACTAATTTATTTTCAAAATATGTAAAATATATATACGGTTTCGTTCGGTAACTCTGTTTCTGAGGCTGAGTCAGAAACGTCGCAAAAAATTAAGAAAATCATCTTCTCTATTAGCGACCATTGAATTTCTATAATTCCACGTTATTATGGCGAGAGACATCTGCTGCTACTGCTATATAGACTTTGACTATTATTAATACTTCTATTACCCCCGTTATTGCCATTAATATCTCTACTAGTATCTCTATTAATATCTCTATTAATATTCCTACTAATGTCTCTACTAATAGGGTTAGAATTAGAGTAACCCTAATACCTATATGTATATTAGTTACGGATGTTCATTATTTTAGCGTGCTTAGCCTTATTTTACCAAAAAAATAAGTTTTTTTTTTTATTTTATTTTTAATAATTTTAATTTTTTTTTTTATTAAATTGTTTTTTTTTAATTTTTTCCTGGGGGCCTTTCTCATAACAACCCCACCATACAACCGCCGTGCATCTGGACTTGAGCATCAATCCAAACACAAAGCGTCATGAGGTTTTCCTGGAGCGATGGCAGTGCGGCTCACCCCAAGATTGTCATCACCGCCAAGGACGATGACTTTGACGAAGTCACCATTCAAAATTGGAGAGCAGAAGGCTTTGAAGTATCCTACTTGCCCTTCACTGGTTTGCGAAATGATTATGTCCATACCCTTCAACATCTGGCTGATCCGCTAGAGCTTGGCGAGAACTTTGCGATAGTAGGTCTGCTTGCTCGACTCGTATCAATAGCAATTGGAGCTAGTAGCTAATGCTTCAATTCTCCGCAGCTTATGGAGAAGCAGCCTCGGAAGCACTCGATGTGGCTGTGAAGCCGATGCCGAAACTGTGCGCTTTGGTAGCATACTATCCCGAGAAGGTCCCTGCACCTGGTGCTAGGTTCCCTCCGAGCCACAACGTTGCAATTCATTTCGCTGGTCCACAAAGCAAGACGCCCAATTGTCGCTGTTACTCATATCCAGGTGTTGAGGCGGGATTTGCAGAAGAGGACCTTGAGCAGTATGACAAGGTATCCGCGAGCCTAGCATGGTCGAGATCGTTAGCAGTCTTGAGAAAAGGATTTGAGGTTGAAGTTGATCTTGAGAAGATTTGGGACGACCATGTGGCGTGTGAGTTCTTCTTATTTAGAGAAAGTTGGCCTTGAAGCAGCTAACAGGTGGTCCCGGGGAAGTGGAATTCGTGACCAAAGACGCCGACGCAACAATGTCGACGATGGTCGCTCGTACGTACATTTCGGCGAAGATCCTTCCGATATGGTACTGAAATTGAGTCGCGAAACTCTTTCCGGGAGCGAATTGACCTGTTCTGCTCCCGAGACCTGTCTTGCAACTCAACGTATCTACCTTGAAGAAGGAATACTGACCCCGAAATTTGCGTAGAACCATACGTCAATCATATTCCTACTATGACAGGCGGCATCGGGTATAAGGATCTCCACCGCTTCTATCGCGATTACTTCATTCCTGGAAATCCACCCTCACTAAAGATGAAACTTCTGTCGCGGACAGTTGGCACAGACCGTGTAGTTGATGAGATGTATATGTCGTTCGAACACACCCAAGTAATGCCAGTAAGTCATTTTTCCGATTTCTTCCTTCTTGTTCGAGACTGCTTTTCGAGTCGCGAGACAAGCTGCAGGAGCAATTTAATCTTGCCACCCTTCTTACTCCCCAGTTATGTCTAGTTTTTTGATTCCTTATCTACAGGTGGAAATGCTGACTCCGAAATGTGCTAGTGGCTTTTGCCAGATGTAGAACCCACGAACAAACATGTCGAGGTTGCGCTCGTGGTAATTGTATGTATTCGAGGAGGCAAATTATACCATGAGCACATATACTGGGATCAAGCTAGTGTTCTCGTACAGATTGGACTATTGGACCCAAAGCTCGTACCAGGTGGAAAGGGCCAGGGCCGCTTGCCTGTAGTCGATGGCGCCGGCGCGAGGAAAGTTGTTGATGAGAGCAGCATCAGAAGTAATGAGCTCATAAGCAGCTGGTGATTAATTAAACAATATATTCATCGCTGTTAGCCGTGGGGCTGCTGTCTTGCTTGACCTCTAGAGAGAGCTTTGCAGCATCGAGAGTTGCGGGCTGACAGCTTCCTTGCTTTTCAATGTCATCACACTCCCTCTTTGCGCGATGTTGACTAAATCCACTATGTCTCTAGGCTTCTCTGTTGTAAGACCGGCTATTAGCACACCTAGAAAGGTGTCACCAACACCATTGACGCTAACAACCTGATCGCTCGACACAGTCTCCACAGGTGGGAATAGCCGCATGTAGACCCCACCAATAACATTATTGCCATCAGTCGAACGAGAAAGAACATAAGGTGCAGCATCAGGCGATGTCAAGCGATCATCTCCCGGCCGAAGCATCTGGGTCATGAGGACTCCATGCTCACCCAGTGTAGTTAAAATGCAAGGAATGAACGGCAATAGACGAATGCTTTGCTGTGGAGCTCCTTGATCGACAAGTAAGTTGTTTGTCAAGGACACAAGCTTCTCTCGGGATCCTGAACTCGATAGTCCTATAGAATCAATCATGCGCCACCAGTCTTCTCGATCGAAAAGACCAGCGTCGCACGCAGCATCGTGCATTGAAGACAACTCTAGGGCATTGGGCGTAGCCAGACTGATTGAATGATTCGGCACCGCCGCCAAGCTAGCATCGGTTTGAAGGCTCGCTGGAAACGCCCTCCTTGACTTTGCTGGAGAGACTGGCTCAAATGCAACCTTTGCTCCAGCAGCTTTAGCTGTGTCGAGCCATTTTCGAATCGTGTTGGAGTGCCAATTTGCATCAACTACAAGCCATTTCGGCTTGCAAGCGTCAAAGTGAGGTTTCCAGAGGGAATCGAAGTCCCCAATTGTATCTTCTAATATGTTCATATCTGCCATTGCTAACAACATGTGCTTGTGCGCATCGTTGACTGCAACATACTGCGCCGTGTGGGATCTTGAACCCCTTGTCTGGACCCCAACGGTCTGTAAACCTCGTTCAGCCAGGAGGTTGATGGCGGTAGAACCGGCTACGTCGTCTGCAACGCTACTACAGAGGCGTACCGAAGACCTAAGATAGTGTAGAGCAGTTGCGACATTCTGGCCGACGCCACCTAAGGTTTGAGTGATAGAAGCTGGATTGGACGTATGGAGCTGCGGCTGGCTTGACAAATTCGCAGAAGGCGGCGGAATGTAGTCACAAGATAGGTCTATTGCCAAGCTGCCAGCAACAACGACGTCTACTGTACTGGTGTGCGGAAAGGCTGTGCCCATGGAATTAGAGGAGGCTTTCAGTGATCGTGCAGCTTCTGCAGCAGGACCATCCACCAATTGGCTAGCCCTCCTGTCAACGACAGGAGGTCTAGTAGTCCTGAAAAGTCCGGCTTTTAGCTGGAGATCTTCGCCGATTCATGGCTATGCTCTCACCAATCCTGTCTTCTCTGTTCCAGGTTCGATAGGTGAACAGCTACTTTTGTGCCACGAGCAACGTTGGCCTCGACCAAAGCCCTGTTCGCTGTGATCGATTCTCCCTTTGTGATTTCGCGAATTCGCTTTAGCACGAAGGGGGTGTTCTCGCTACCCACCGACCCGGATTTTCTTGCATCCCGGAGTGCTTGCGCAATGATGCTACCCATCTCCTTCTTCGCGATCGAATACTCAGCAGGGATTGGATTCGCAAAGAGAAGGCCGGATGTGAGAGACATCCCTTGCTGCGCATCTAGCAAGAGGTTGACTCAGAGCTGCACCTTCAACAACACGCAAGTGCGAGGAACTGGGGGCGGAGGCGTATCCACTCACATATCATAGCCGCGGCTTCTTTTTCGTTCTCGATGGTTAACGGGCTTCGACTGCCGCTGTCCCTTGTCCAGAATGCCGGAAAATCAACGTTTCCGTCACGACCATCTGCGAAAGTGGCTACACAGACTCCTTGGGTTTCAAGGTACTCCAGCGTTCGCGGTATGTCAAGAAAGCTTTTACATCCACTGCTTACCACAGCCATCCCGGTACGACCTAGCTCGGTAAGATCTGCACTGATGTCCATGGTGCTTTCACCGCCACTATGCACACCACCAAGGCCCCCCGTGGCGAAGACCTTGATTGCAGCTAAGTGGGCAAGGACCATCGTACCAGATACTGTAGTCCCTCCATTAAGCCTTCGGCCTGCGAATCCCTTGCAATTCTACGATAAGTATGGGATCTCACAGATAATTCCACTGAATTGGGAGTGTTACCAATCCACATGTGAATGCAAGATCTCTTCTTGAAATCTTCTTCGTGTCAGGTTTGCCAGCTGACGCCGTAAGTTCAACAAGTTCTTCTGCCTGAAGTCCAACACGAGCAACGCCATTTAGAACGCCAACTGTAGCTGGGATTCCTCCATTGACGCGAACGATCGACTCCAGGTGCGAAGCTAAGGCGACGTTCTCCGGATATGGAAAGCCTGCTCATTGAGTTAGGTCTTGCGTGGAACAACTTTACGTCTAGATTATCCACCGTGCGTGTAGATAGTGGTCTCGAGAGCCACCACCGGTTTCTGGGTTTCGATGGCTTCTCTGACTTCCTCGGAAACCTTGATGAAAGGATTCTCTTGAGGGACACTACAACGAGCATGACCTCGATTTTGAAACACTACCTTTGTGCTCACAGAAGAGATCCCCGGATGACAGCGAGGGACAGACGAAAGGACGGTCGCCGTTCGAAATGGGAAGTTTCGAGCCATGAGCTCGTCTGCTTATTAGGCACGGTTGTCAAAGCTTGAAGCTTTTATCGGCGTTTCCCAAACTCCGATCTGTAGGGCTGAATGCTACCACCAAGGACCGCAAAAAGGACACGACTGAGCTCCATCAACGTCCATCTCAAGTCCCGAGCGCCGTCCCCGAGCGAATGGGTCTGGAGAGTATTCGATCATGAGATCTTTAACGCTCTTTGCAGCTTGCCTGTGCTCCATATTTACCACTACTGCAGCAGATGCGAATCTTTCCACACCTCTCTCCTCGCATCAGATCCTGCCGGATAACTTCAAGCCTCCACAGGTCTTTAAAAATGCTAATTTACTGCGAAACATCAATCTCGAAAAGGGCTACGTGAGGGAGACGATCAATGTTGTCATTGAGAATATAGACGCAAAAGAGCAGGACACATACTACATACCTTTCAAAGCAGAAGCAATTGGCAATGTTGGAGGGATCGAGGTCAGGGACAAGAAGGATCCCGAGAAGGCTGCTTTCCACAGTGAGGTCGTAGAATATGATCCATATAGGTGAGAAGCTTGTTATGCAGCTGGTTCTCCCCAATTGAAGCTCATGCTGGCTGTCTAGTCCAACCCAATTTTATCGCGTCACTTTGTCTAGTCCTCTGGCGCCATCTACCCAACAGACTCTTTCCATAAGCTACCACGTTCTCTCCGCCCTCGCCCCTCTTCCAGCCACCATCAACCAGCAAGACAAACAATACCTCTATTATACCTTTTCAACCTACTGGCCCTCTGCCTATCTGACCGAGAAGCAAAAGACGAAGATCAAGTTTTCCACAGCTGATATTCCAGACTACACCGCGGAGCCTTTGCGCGAGGGGAAGACCTTCACCTATGGGCCGTTTGAACAGACTCCAGCTGGTGTGGAGCAAGAAGCCAGCGTGCGGTATGAGTTTACAAGACCCATCACTCACGCTACGCTTCTCGAGCGAGACGTTGAAATCAGTCAATGGGGTGGAAATCTAGCGACGGAGGAGCGGTATTGGCTCACGAACAAGGGCGCTCATCTTGCCGGGCACTTCTCTAGAGTGGAATGGGCACGCACGCAGCATTATAACCCACCCACAAGCGCATTGAGAATGCTCACACTCCCACTGCAAGTGGGAAGCTTGAACCCTTACTTTACCGATGACATTGGAAATGTCTCGACAAGCCGCTTCAGGAGCAATATTCGTGAGGCGAACCTCGAGCTTAAACCGCGCTACCCGGTGTTTGGAGGGTGGAAATACAGCTTCAAGGTCGGCTGGGATGCCAGTCTGGGAAGTTTCTTGAGGAAGTTAAAGAAAGGGGACGGTTATGTGCTCAGAGTTCCCTTCTTGGAAGGTCCAAAAATGGGCGAGGGAGTATCATACGAAAAGGTTGATCTGCGAGTCATTTTACCTGAGGGGGCTACGTAAGTCTTCATGGCTTTCCCCGCGTCATTATGGTATTGATATTTGTCCCAGAAACGTACTATACGAGAGCCCAATTCCCGTTGTGGCCAGCGAGGTTTCGTCTCACAAGACTTTCATGGACACACTAGGCCGGACAACGCTAAAGCTGACGGCTATGAATGTGGTTGACGAGGCTCGAGAGAAGTATGTGATTGTCACATACGACTACCCTTTCATCGCGGCATATCGAAAGCCGTTTACCATATTCGCTGGTATCATGACAGTGTTTGCAACAGCTTGGGGGATAGGGAGGTTGGATGTTAGCATAGCACGGCCTTAGTGAGGGTTTTATTGTATAGTACAAGTAGACTGTGTAAGAATGGTAGATCAAACATATCAGCAATACAATTCTATGCAAATTTGTCCCCTTGTATTGAATCAAATGAAGTCAAGCCAAACCCACGTGCTACATGTGGGTCATCTCTGATTGGTCAATGGCAATTGTCTCCGCACAATGCTCGAGTGATTGATTGCTTGCTGGTTTGCTTGCTTTGCTTTTTCCTCCCTGGCAATCGTTCGCAGGGCTAGCTCCCATCCTTACCCCTCAGACCATCGTCCTATTCTCACTTCTTCTCTACATTATCTTATTGCAAGCGTCTCCATCCACGCCTCCTTTTTAGCGGAAAAGCCTTCGGACCCTCGGGCGAAAACTATGCAGTATGTACTGCCCCGTCTTTAAGCAAAACCATACTAACGACCACCACGTAGCTTTGGCCAGCAACTCCGGACGTCGCTATTGAAAGACTACTTCTACTACTACATAGCCTATGATGACCTCAAAGACGCTCTCAAGACCCCTTATCAAGACGACCCTAGCCCGCAAAATCCCAACCCAAAGCGGAGACCCTGGACTGAAGATGACGAGAAATCCTTCGTTGCAGAGTTGGAAGGGGAGCTCGAGAAAGTCTTCACCTTTCAGCGGGTCAAGTCCGGAGAGATAGTGAGACGGATCAAGGCCAGCGAGAAAGAAGTCAATGATGTGATTGGGCGCTTGGACAAGAGGGGGCCGAGGCCTACACAGAATGGAAATGCTGGCCATGCGGAAGAGGAGGATGTACCTACCGAGGACGACTTCATGCTACTCGAAGAGGATTTGAGTGATATCATTGCCGACGTGCATGATCTGGCTAAGTTCACGCAGTTGAACTATACTGGGTTTCAAAAGATCATTAAAAAGCATGATGTGAGTCCCCAGCATCAGGGGACTTGAGTTCCAGGGCATGGAATGGGCCATGATAACAGAGACCAGAAACAAACAAAGTGGCATCTCAAACCAGTCTTCGCTGCACGGCTGAAAGCAAAACCTTTTTTTAAAGACAATTACGATGAGTTCATCGTCAAGCTCTCGAAGCTCTACGATCTTGTACGAACGAGGGGAGACCCTATCAAAGGGGACAGTGCAGCCGGAGGAGGCCAACAAAATTTCGTCCGGCAAACGACAAAATACTGGGTGCACCCAGATAACATTACAGAGTTGAAGCTCATCATATTGAAGCATCTTCCAGTGCTAGTCTTCAATCCGAATAAAGAGTTCGAGGCCAAAGACTCGGCGATCTCATCAATCTACTACGACAATCCAGAGACATGGGAGCTGTACACCGGGCGTCTGAAGAAGACAGAAGGTGCAGAAGCCATCCGTCTACGATGGTATGGCGGCATGGAAATAGAGACAATCTTCGTGGAGCGAAAAACTCACAGAGAAGACTGGACTGGAGAGAAGTCAGTCAAAGCACGATTTTCGCTCAAGGAGAAGAACGTAAACGCCTTCCTAAGTGGCAAGATGAAGGTGGAAAGTATCTTTGAAAAAGCAAGAAGAGAAGGCAAGAAGAGCGAGAAGGAAATCTCGGACTTGGAACAGCTGGCCCGAGAGATACAGTATCGAGTCATCACTAGGAGACTTGTGCCAGTCACAAGATCTTTCTACAACCGCACTGCTTTCCAACTCCCAGGCGATGCCAGAGTCCGCATATCCCTGGACACGGAGCTGACCATGACCCGTGAAGATAATCTTGATGGCAAACAACGAGCCGGCAAGAATTGGCGGAGGATGGACATTGGTGTCGACTTCCCGTTTTCGCAGCTGCCGCCTGAGGACGTCGAACGCTTTCCATATGCTGTACTTGAGGTCAAGCTCCAGACACAAGCGGGTCAAGATCCACCAGAATGGGTGCGAGAGCTAATAAGCAGTCATATCGTCGAAGCCGTCCCCAAGTTCAGCAAATTCATTCACGGCACCGCAACCATGTTCCCCACGCGAATAAACCTCCTACCATTCTGGATGCCACAAATGGATGTTGACATCCGGAAACCCGTTACCCACGGCTTCGGCATCGAACGACCAGCTCAATCAGCGAATTGCTCTACCAGCGAAGATATCGACGACGATACAGAAGACGACGACGAGACGGAAGGAGCTTCAGAAGAACAGCGGACAGACTCCCAAAACAGCCCCACTCTCCAAGGCGACTCTGAATCCGCTGACAGTGATCAAGGCATCCGCCGCCTCCGCCTGGCGCGCGACGCTATGGAGCACTATGCCATGGAACAGCACTCCGCGGATCCCAATGCCCTCGACATCGAAGAACGTATCTCCGCCGCCCCGCTAGCCCACAACCCTGACGACTACCCCATCTACGACTCCGAAGACGAAGATATGGATGACATGGAAGAAGCAAAACAGTTAGGTGGCTGGCACTATCGCGGAAAAGCCATAACGCAACACATCGCAATGGTCGGCTCCTACATTGCTGCAGCTTTTTCAAAAATCATACCCGCACCCAAACCGACTCCCATCCCGGGCTCCGCTTTGACTGCTCTCGGAGACGTGCCGCCTAGCCACGTCGAAGCGCGCAGATTCAAAGCACCGCGCGGTAAACGCATCCATGTTCCCGTGAGGGTTGAGCCCAAAGTCTACTTCGCGGCTGAGCGTACCTTCCTCTCTTGGCTAGAATTCAGTATCATACTCGGCTCCATTGCCGCAACTCTTCTCAACTTCGGCGACTCAATATCCCTAGCCAGTGCATGGGCCTTTACGATTGTGGCTTGTATCGCTTTGTTATACAGCATGGGACTTTACCTCTGGCGTGTACAGATGATTAGAGGACGGAGAGCTGTCAGATACCATGATAAATGGGGCCCCAGCTTCTTGTGTCTGGGCCTGGCCGCAGCGGTGGCCATAAGTTTTGGGATCCGGCTGAGTCAGTAACGACGGATGTGGGAATGAGGGCCGAGACGTCGTTTTGGGTCTTGGATATCGGAAGGATCGGACAAGGGCAAAAGTGCGTAAGAGTGTTGCTCTGTCTATGTCAGTAGAGAATAGCGTAATGCATATATCCGTCGTTATGGGTATCTCAAGCCTCGATCATGATCATGCTCAACAACATTCAAAATTTCACCCTTCCGAGGCCCCTCTCCTCCACAGCCGACTGAACCCCCTCCTGCACCCTCCTCACAGCTTCTTTCCAAACCTTGTCCCCTTCCACCTTCCCACTACCATCGCCCACACCCTCATCAACGATCCACCCCAACCACCTCCCCACACTGACCGCTTTTTCCATATCCCCTTCCTCCCCGACCACTTTCTCTAAATACTTAATCAATGCATCAACATCCTCAGCGTACGGCCCCTCATCTCTGAATTCTTCGAACCAGGAACTAATCGCTTCGCGTAGCTCGGGCAGCCGAGTAAACTTCTGAGCTGTGAAGGTCGGTTTTGGCGGACAAGGCGGGAGAGTGAGGGTGCGTTGGCCGGTAGGTTGGTGGCCTTTAGCGTTAAGGGGTCGCTTCTTTTTGTTAGAAGTAAACTCAATGCCACCTTTCTTCTGCAAGCTGTCACGGCGGGCTTGCGCGAGGACTTCGCGGCGGATGTCATCGGGAAGGGCGGAGAGGAAGTCGTCCGGGATATCTGCTGATAGCTCTGCGCCACCTACTTTGGCGGACGAAGCTCCAGGGCGAGCATTGGCGACAAAGTTGGATTGGGTGAGCGTTGAGAAGGCAGAAGATGCTTTGTTGGCGCCGCGCGAGAACAAGCCGGCACGCTTTTTGGTGGGTGTGGTGAGCTTTTTGGGAAGTTTCGTTGTACGATTCTTACGTGGTGACTGTGGTAGTACAGCTTGAGCTGCTTTGGCCAAGGCCTTGTGGGGGGATTTATGGTAGAAAGCTAGGATCTCGGCGCGGACATCGTCAGGGAGTGCGTCTAAGGTTTCAGGGTCGAGTTGGGACTGGGAGGGAAGAGCGTCCGGAGGGAGAGTGGGAGTGCCTGAGCGAGATCTGAGTGCAGGTGCCGCGTCCCGAGACTGGTTTGGTTTCGGAGCAGTCTGCTTGCCTAGTAGCTTCGATCGAATGTCTGAAGGGAGTTCGGCGAGTACCACTGGGTCCACCTGCGTGGGAAGTACGAATTGAGTCCCTAAGGTGTTCAGAGGCATGCGAGGCTTGCCGTTTGGGGTCGGAGACGTCTCCTTTGCAAATGTAGCAGCGGGGTGTGCTGGAGGTTGTACCTTGGGCTTTTGGGGGCTATCTATATCATCCACAATGAAATTGTCTTTAGGTAGCGGACGCTTCGGAGTGTTTGATGCCTTGAATTGAAGCCGTCTCTGGCTACTATCTTGTGGATTGTCGCCTTTGAGCTGTTCTAGTCTTTGCATCTGGATGCCAATGCCTCGCAGTTCTCCTGGTGAGAAACCAAAGCCACGCATGATAGAGATGGCTTCTCGGCCAATTATATCCTTGTCATTCGTAGCGACGCCAAGTATCAGACTCTTGTTGAATGTATCACATTTGCCGTGTCCGAGATGCTTAGGTGGATCCAAAGGAGCATCGGCTGCACGCCTCATGATCTTCATCGTTAGCTGCCGTCCTTTGAGTCCTTCGTTCAGCAAGCGTTTGTGTAGCTCTTCGCACAGGCTGTGGACGAATTCATCCGCCTGCTCTTGAGTGACAAAGCGTATGCCCCAATTGACCTCTGCTGAGACCGACTTGCGGATTACTTGATCTCCAACCTCGGTTCGATCAATGCCGCGAGCGTAGTCCCAAATCTTCTCGCCTGTTTTAGGTCCCAGGGTGGTAACCATCTTCTCTTTTGAGAGCTCTCGTACATCCTTCACAAACCTGACACCGATCTCTTCTAATTTACCACCAATACTATAAGCAACTCCGGGTAATTCTTGTACTGTGAGGCCGCCTAAAAAGTCCAAGACCTCTTCGGGCTTTATCTGGTATTGACCCGCGGGTTTGGCTTTCCGCAGAGCGACTTTCGCCAGCAAGATGTTACCTCCGATACCGACAGAGACTGCGCAACCTGTCCTTTCTTTGATCTCCTCCCGCAGTTTGGTTGCGATCTCATCGGCTTCGGCCTGCTCACGCCAGATGCTCCCTTCGTGAATACCCTTACCCTCATGACCGCCGGCTGCTATACACCGGGCACTGACATCTACCAGAGCTTCATCTACACTCACGCTTTGCACAACTCCATCTGTATCCATGACAGCGGCGTAAAAGTTCCGGCTGGCGTCTTCATAAGCCGGGAAGTTGTACGGTAGAACCTTGAGATCCGGGCACATCTTCTGGGCATGTTTCATCCACATACCGTTCTTGACACCAAATCTTCGTGCTGGGTAATTGCAACTGGCGATCTCAGAGCCTGAACCACCGCCGTGGGCTATCACAACAGGTCTGTCAACATATTGGGGAAATTGCTTCAATGACACTGCAGCGAAAAAGCTGTCAAAATCCACATGAAGGATGTATCGTCTTGCACCTGGCACACGCTTTTCGCGCGATCTCTGAGACGATGTTTTCTCGGCAGCCATCTTTTGCATCTGTGACTTCAGTTCAGCCTTCCAAGCCGACAGGTGATGCAACCTAGACTCTTCATAGTACTGTTTCAGGAATCTCGGATTTACAACGGTGGACTTCCATACTCTTGGGTCAGCCAATAGCTGGGCGTTGTGTTCCTCGGCGGTAGGCTTCGTAGGTGTGGTACCATTGTCAGCGCTGGGCTTCTGAGGAGGAGGAGAGGCTTCGAAATCTGGCTCATTAAGAGCAGCATATTCCTCAGTAGCAGGCTCGAGGGTGTGCAGAGTTTCCTCGAAGGTGAATTCCTGGGAAGCAGACCGCCGGTCTGAGGTGATGGTATCGGGTACGTTGTCTTCGTCCGGCGCGAAATCTTCGGAGCTGAAGTTCTCCACAGCAAACATCTTAGCTTCTGTACGTGGTGAAACAACTCCAGTGGGCACATCGTTGTCAGCTTTCAATGACAATCTTTCTGGAGTCGTTGGCCCATCGAGCGAGGGCTCAGAACGCGCGCCACGGCTATTTTTGGCCGACCCTTCAGAAGCCAGCTCGCGAGCGTTGTTGTCTTGCGATTCAGTGTAATACTGATCCGCGGCTGGGAAATCGCTGGGGTCTAGTTCTTCGCCCTCGACGCCTTCGGGAGAGTCGGAGGAAGGAACACCATCGTCTAGAATATCGTCGGCCGGATCTGCCATAATGCATCCAGCATTCCGCCTCTCCCCATATGCATTCCTGGCATCCAAAGGTGATTGGCTACTGGGGTAAGGGCGTTCTGGTCCACGTGAGTCGAGCTCATTTGCCACATCCCGCACTTGTCCAGTGTACCAGCTCGTCTCTGTTTGATCTCTGTAGCCCCTTTCCAGATTGTTGACTTGACTTATGACGTTCCCGTTGTCAAAGCCCAGCACACGCTGCCCAACGCCTTCATCTACAACCCTGTAGGCATCCCACGGAAGTAGTTTGCCAGCTTCGATACTATCCGTGACCCACGCTGGCTTGACGATGCGGTATTTCTGAAATTCGATCTTCTTCTTTGGCGTAAGGGTGCTGGCAATGATATGGGTAACCGTGGTCTTGCCATCGAGGTATTGCATGAATCCTCCACCGTAAGCAACAATTAATTTGTGTATGTCATTGAGCGATGGCTGCGTATAGCCATTGACGTGGGCAACGACACCGCGGAATACGGGAGGGTTGTTGGCCGAGGACGACCTCAAATTCGCGTCGAGATTTTGGAGCTTGATCTTCTTCCTCCGAAAATAATCGTTGAAGCCGCCAAATTTGGATGATTCATACTCTTCTCCCCCTTCATCCTGGAACTTGTGCTTCTCTATTCTCTTGCGTACGGCAGATGAATTTGCCTCCAGTCGCGAGCCCATGCTGTGTGTTTAATGCGTCCTTTATCGCTTCTGAGGTACTCGCCTGGGTGAGCGAGGGTAGTGTAGTGTCATCGTCTCCAAGCAAACACATAGTGAGCTCATGGAATAAATATCAGACATGCAAAAAGCGTGAAAACTGTCCGAGGGCCGTAGAAAGGTGACAAAGAGTGACGTGGTCGCGTAAATTGGCTATGCGCTAAGATACACACGCCGATAATGAAAATAAGTGGGTAGAAAAGTTCGAGTTCCTGGTGCTCGAAATTTCTCACGAACTCTTACATTTATTTTTTCACGATATCATAGCAAGAATTTCCACCCAGTACAGTACAAGCCAGGATAATACCGTGTCATAACCGATCTAACCAGAAGATCGAGCTTCTTAATTAAAAAAAGCCCTTTCAGACACCGCTCTTTTCAACTGCCCACAATGTCGAGCTTGCTTCCCGTCCAAGTCTACGGACTCAAGGTCCCAGCTGGCGATGTGATGATCCCAGCGATCGCTGACTTTCCTGCCACTGTAAGAGTTACAGCTTAAGCTACCCTAGTGTCGATATATGAGAGTGGATAGCTAAGATGGCAAATGTAGTTTCGTATTACGATGGCTGCCATCGATCCAAGCGCTTCGCCTGCACACACCGGTACTGTCAATGGTGACACGAAATCAAGAGCAACCTTGAAGCTCGTTTACGATGCCAATCCTGGACAGGATTCAGACTCTGATGAAGGGTCGGATGAGGAAGAAGAATACCTAAAAGCGTTATTGGCAGGTCATGAGTCTGACGATGAGGATGAAGACGATGAATCTTCAAGCGACGACGAGGAAAAGAACGGGGGTCCAAGCGATCCATCGAAGACTAAGAAGGCGCGAAAAGAAGCTGCTCTGCTACAAATGATGGGAGCTCTAGCGGAAGGTCAAAATGATAGCGAGAACGAGATGGAGTTGGACGAGTCTCCCCTGTTGAATGGGCTGACTAAGAACTCGAAAGCAAACAAGGGAAAGGGCAAGGCCGTGGCTGAAGATTCGGAAGACGAGAGCCTTGGGGAGGACGACACCGAGGACTCGGTGGATGGAATGGAGGAGGTGGTTGTGTGTACTTTAGATCCGGAAAAGGTGGGCAACTACTATGAAGTTTTCTTCATGTTATTCGAACTCTGTACATTGAATTCTATACTTACCCTGCATGTTTAGAACTGCCAGCAGACTCTTGACTTGACAATTGGGGAAGATCAGACGGCATACTTTAAAGTTTCTGGTACCCACACTATCTACCTAACCGGTAACTACGTCGTCCCAGCCGACAGCGGTCATAACCACGAGCACGAGCTGTACGATGGCGAAGATGAAGAAGATGACTACGACATGTCTCCAGATGAAGATGAGCTTGACGATGACGAGGAGAGCGACGAGCTTGATACTCTTGAGGACCCTCGAATCACGGAAGTGGCATCTGGAGACGAGGAGGAGCCGCCAAAACTCGTGAAGAAAGATGAAGTTGCCAAGAAGGAGGAGCCGGCAAAGAAAGGCAAGAACAAGCGCGCTCGTGAGGAGTCTGGTGATGAGAAGGAACCGCCTGTCAGCCTTGACGAGATCATGGCCAAATCTCTCAAGCCAGCAGAGGTAACCGCTAATGGAGAGACTAAGCTTAGCAAGAAGCAGCTCAAGAAGTTGAAGAACAATGCAGGCAAGGCAGTCGAGGCAGCTGTTGAGAGTAAAGAGGTAAAGAAGGAGGAGGCCGCAGCCAAAGACAGCCCGCTGAAGGGGGACAAGAAGGTTCAATTTGCGAAGAACCTGGAGCAGGGGCCTGCAAGCTCAGCTGACATGCCTAAAATGGACAGCAAAGACAAGACCAAGAGCGACTCGAAGAAAGAAGAAGGAAAGCCCAAAGCTAGCCTTGGTATGAAGACAGTGCAAGGGGTCAAGATTGATGACAAGAAGTTGGGCACCGGGCCAGCTGCGAAGAAAGGTAGCAAGGTGGGCATGAGGTACATCGGGAAGCTCAATGATGGAAAGGTCTTTGACTGTAAGTGCACTCTATTTACCACGGAAAGAATCGGATGCTAACGGACTACCAGCGAATAAAAAGGGCAAGGTATTCAGCTTCACCATCGGAGATGGCTCCGTCATCAAAGGCTGGGACATTGGTGTTGCCGGTATGCAAGCAGGCGGTGAGCGTCGCATCACCATCCCAGCGGACCTCGCATACGGGAAGAAGGGAGTGGCAGGGATACCGGGTAATGCGGAGCTCACCTTTGACCTGAGGCTGCTGGAGGTAAATTGAGGGATTGAAAAACCTCATCTATTAACCCAGATGGATGTACACTCGCTTCTTCAACCGTCGATACTTTTCTTTGGTCCCAGTGGCCTCGTCTTTGGCGTCTTCCATCCGCGTATGGATCAGTGTGCATTACAGCGATGATATCCGACTTGCATTTGTTACAGGATAGCAGGGATGAGGATTGTCTTCTGCTCGGAAAAGTCTTGTGCTTCTGATTCGAGAGACAGATATCAGGATAGCTTGTGTCAGGCAGCCAGAAGGGCTCATCAAATAGGCTGCTATCATGTTCACCTGTAGCCTCCTGAGGGGTGACTCGTCCGAACTTTGTGTAGCACTAGCGAAATGCCAGAACCAGCTCACCGGCCACTCATGAAATATGTAAGTATCCCAATATCCTCCACTGCACCAACAGCTCTCGCCAATACCATTCAAGTCGAATCACGACTTCCGCCTGCAGTGGTGCCAGCTGAGGATTTTGGCATTCAACATGGATCAATCTTATCTCCAGCCATAGCCGAATGTCTGGAAAACACGCAGCTCACATCGAAGAACACACAACCAAAATTATCCTGGAACGTACAAACGTTCTTACCGTCTGCTCGCCATGCCGAGTTCAGCTCTTGAACAGTATGATCCCACATCTCAAGAATCCTCCACCCGCTCCAGGGAGATGAAGTCTGCGTTGGTGAAACACCAGGACTTTGATCACGTTCGTAGGCCTGATGTAAGTATGCGGGGTAGACCTTCTGCCAATTCAATGGCACAGACTCCCGGAACTGTCTCCAGCACAGAGCCTTTATCGGAAGGCTGGTCGCCACAGATGACCAGGCTGAGGGAATGGGACAGGACACTGACAGTCGATGCCCTGAGACCGCTGAAGATTTATCACGTCCAGTAGCTGTCCGTGATCTCTTGAAGGTGACATTGATGGTGGTACTCCGGTAACGATTTCGTTGCCCATTATATTGTTCCACCAAGGGGAGTATATTCTGCTGGTCTCAGCGCAACTTCACGAAACCATTGAGATGCTACAAGGCTGTGCCGGGGATTGATCGAGTCTCTTTCTTGCCGCGTGCGGTGTACATGGCAGCCACGTCTCAAGTGTACACCACTCTCCACTTCCAACGAACAGCGTGGGCTGACTCTGCACATGTAACAAAGGCTCGAATATGCAGTGGTCAAATCCACAGACGTCTCCGAATAGTCCCCCTCCTCTCAAGCCGTGGCCACGACCTAGAGCAAATAGATAGCAACCGATGATCAGCATGCAAGTCTACCGGTTTGAATATTTTGATGGCACCCAGCTTTGCACTAACTGCTCCGCGACGCCTGGTGACGCCAATTGCCGTATAGCCACCTACCGCATCAAGACACTGTACGCTCCCATGCAGTCATACAGTGTGTGCGCACGGACAGGTTTCCGTCGCAATGCACGCAGCAATCGACGCCCTGTCATTCGACTCCCGAAAACGCATGGCTACGGTTTCGGCCCATCGTCCACGAATCAGGTTTGTGCCTTCTCCCCCAAATCAGGACCTTGAGCAGGGTCGCGCTGATACTTGGTACAATGACAGAACTGTGAACAGACTTACCTTGCTTGTAGATGGTGGTACACATGCGCTATAAAGTCCCCGATTGGTATTCGCACAAGGGGGTTTATGTCTAGTCTCCTTCACCGATTGTTTCGCCGTGTATAATCCCTGATGTATGAGATGAATGCGTTTAATGAATTATTTCTGTCTTTGAATGCTCCCGGCAATCTTTACTATCCCTCTCGTGCAATATGTCTTCAGACGGTTTCTTCTCTCAATATCCAGAATTCGACCACGATCCGACCGCTCCCTTAGTCGCCGAGTTCCAGAGGCTCAGCCTCCAACGAGGTTGGAAGGCGGGTGGGAAGAAGTATCGTCAAAGCCGTCAGAAATGCTTTGCACAGGAATTTGAGCACCACTATGGGCACGCCAGCGACAAGCTCGCTGGCTGGCAGGCCCTCTGTGCAGATCTCTACGTCTCTCCCACCCCTTCATCTATCAAACAATGTAAAAAGGCGGGTCGTCTATCTCACCATCTAGGCGTGACGTTGCTAACAGCTCGCCGCAACCTCTAGGCACTCTCGAGAATTTCCGTCAACCTCGTCGACCTCATCGATTCTCACCGGACTGGGGAAAAGGTGAAACTTTTCCCTTCCAAAAATGCGCTCCGGAACTATTCCATAAATCACAATAAAATATTCTCAAAGAGACAGGCAAAGGCGGATGGATATGTTTGTGCGCTGTTGATCCAGATGTTCTAGACCCTCTTGGTTTCCGGCAGCTGGCAATTACGCCGAGAGCAGGTACCGATACGTAGGCCACTCAGGGAATGGTCGGTCGTTGTTGGTTGAGGATACTTTGGGCGGGAATGGGTAGACGATTGGGCATATGAGCAGGGCCACGTTAGGGCCGTGAACGATGATGAACTTCGCATGGTGGCGATGGAGAGAGGGAGTGACTGTGGTTTCGAGCAACTGATGCTTCGAACGGAGAAGCCAGGATCGAAAAGACACACGTTGCCTCATAGAGATCGCTCTCTGCTTCATTGATACCTAATGCTGCAACGAATCCTGAACTCAGACTCTGTGGCAATCTTCCGCTTCCCGCTTCGCAATGTCTGCCTTTTCTCTGCGCCCCAGAGCGTTCGCTAACACGGCGTCTAGCCTGCTCTTCCGGCAGCTGAATCAAAGAGAAAGTCGTATACACTGTTGGATTCTCTTCATGTTGTCTCTTCTTTCGCATGAACGAGCACAAGCCGCCGCATGAGATATGAACCACCGTCGACGGCTCCGTTCTCTCAGCTCTATCGACGAAGCATGAATTTGATGCGAAGTCACAAAATCCGACTTAGAGTCCCAATTCCTAGACTTCCAGGATGCGGAAGCGATCGTCTTCATCCGGACTGATTCCAGTACTTCCCCGAACAACGCCACAATATAGTGGTAGTCGGTGCGAAAATACAGCTTGATTATACAAATCGCCGCATAATCCTGCAGCAAAGTCTAACGATATCGTGCTAGAGAATTAACAGTTAATCTGGACGGTACAAAATGAAATCCACCGGCTGACGTCGTTAACACTAGACTATCGCTATACGCAGGATCGCTGCTTTACTGTAACAGAGATGGTTTTCAAATCCATGGACCGGGCGCATGATAGGGCTGAGTTGCAGACTCAAGATACCAGTCCTGATCACTTTGCTGAGAAGCCTCCGGCCTCGCGCAAGCAAGCTCATGAGAATGGCAAGCAGGCTCAACCGCTCGTCCCCCGAACCTGTTTCCAATCCAACACATTCACAATCGTTGAGACATTGCCAGGGCAGACACGTGTGTGACATTAGGCAATGAAGCGTACTCAATCCCAGAGAAAACAGATCGGCGGTCCTTCCCACAGCGCTTTCGACAACAGAGACGCTCAGTATCGGATCCAACTTGCCATGAAACGAATAAAGGGTCTTTGATCGCCATACCTCCATTCGAGCTCGAACCCTGACATTGCCGGAAATGTGTATTATCTTTCCAGTTTGGCTTGAGTCTCGAGTGTCAATGCTACCCGCTCGCTTTTCATTCGTTCCCTAATTTCATAAGGGATACTCACTCCTACTCTCGGCCATCAAATTCCTCAGCCTTGCAAAGCTGACGTCGGTCCTTCCATGGGGCAATCCTCCAGGATTCCGTCGGCCAGTCTGCCATGGTATGTAAAGAGTCAAATTAATGGGCAAGCACGCTGCAAATGTATCTCACGGCTAGCAAGATGTTAGGCATGCATTGCGAATGCACTCACTCCGTCGTCAATGGGTGGTATCTCCGATGCTAAAGGTGGCGGATGACCTATTAATTCCCCCTTACTCGAGCAGAAATCCACCAAGAACTAGCTGGTACACAACCTCTGGAATGGATACTCAGTTGTTAGCCAGTGCTGTTTACATACTCACTCCGGCACAATCAATCCAACACTTCTCCAGAAATTGCACCTCACGCCCCTTCCCCCTTCCCATGAATAAGCATCCACGACACTGAAATCATTCACTAACCCGGGTTCCTCGAACTCGGTAATATTCGGCGCCTGCGCGTCAAAGCTCATGCTCGAATAGGCTTGTCCTCCCGTCTCATTCAGATTCAGTTGCAGCGGATTGCGCAAATTCCACGCCGGAAAATCCGTTGCAGCCAGTCCATTGCCCGTTCCGTTGACACCGTTTGCTATCGCAGAAGAGATCGAGGGGTTGTTTTGTGTGATGAAATTGCCCCAGATGGTCATGAACGCTTTGTCGAAGTCGGGCCCTTGGTTGGGCGTTGGAGGACCGAAGGAGGACGTTAAGTCGGTGCCGTGCGAGGCGCCGATGACAGAGTATTGGTACTTATAGGCTACACGGTTGTTGTTTGTAAAGGCTTCGGCGAGCCAGTAGGAAGGGCAGACGAAGGTTGTTTCGGCGTAGACGTTCTGGAAGAACTTTAGTACCCTCACAATTGACTGAGGCAACTCATCACTAGAGGGAAGTCGAAGAAAGAGAAAGATCGTGCTCACGTCCGCGCGTTGCTGCTGGCCTGTACCATAAGTGCTCTCGTTCAGTGCGGTGGGTGTACTGTTCCCGTTCGTGGCGAATTTGGAAGTACTCATAATATCCGAGGCACTGGATGAAGGATAGTAAAGCAATAGCCGAGAAATGTCATCGTCCGTGAAGAGGGGGAAGTTGTTACGAAGGAAGTTTACGAAATCCTCTTCCGTTATTATGTCCTGTGGAGTGAAGAGTGGACCTTCATCTGCGTTGTTCTGCAGATTGTTAGCCGAGAACCATTCTTTTCACAATGACTACTCACCCCAACAAGTATACGGTTTCCGTTGACTTGTTTCTTCAGCAACTGCTGGCTTGGAAGCTGCTGAATGAAAACATGATCTGTCACAGGTAAAAAGGCCCAAGTGCCATGTCTTGAGGAACCGGAGATGGTGGCGCTGGCATTCTGCAGAGTCTCGGTGTCTTTACCAACAAGGCACTGGAAGATCGAACCGCTAGTATTGCTCTGCGGTAACGCAGGTGGTCCAAAACAGCCTACCGCTGAAGCAAAGGCATAGTATGACTGCGAAGGTACGAAATCGGCGTATCCGTACTGCATCGGCAAATACGGAGATGCAGCAATGACCTGATTTGTGGTTAGATAGGACACCATATGCTGGCTCCGATGACGTGATTCCTAAAATTGAGTACGAGTATCACACGGGGGCTCACTGACATTGCTGAAGAGCGAATCACCGAGATAGCCACCATAAGCCATGGACTGCAACATAACAGACCCGCCTCCAGCACTTTCCCCACTGATCGTCACCTGGCTCGCATTTCCGCCGAATAACCTAATATAACTCTGGACCCACTGTAACGCAAACGTCTGATCAAGTAAGCCGGCATTGACGGCTCCGTACCGCATGACCTCATCCGACGACAAGAATCCAAAAGCTCCCAGCTGTCGATTAATGATCAGCCCGCTTTCTTAAGCAAACTCATTGGGTGAAGCACTTACACGATACTGAATAGCCACAGCGACAAATTTATTATTATTAGCATTTATAATAGGACTCATATCCAGGTTTCCCTGTCCCTGGCCGTACCCACCACCATGGATCCACACCAAAACCGGCAGATCAGTCGCATTTTGCGGAGCATACACGCTTAAGAACAAGCAGTCTTCGTTCCCGGTGAAATTAAAGCCACTTGCAATAGGCGCGTCTGGGCTTTGTGGGCAATTTTGTGGTAGAGTGTCTCCTCGTAGTATTTGGCCGCGGTCTACGGATGGTGCTTCGGGAGGCTGCCAACGTAGAGGCCCGGTGGGAGGGGCTGCGTAGCGAATTCTGGATTTTTTCGTGTGAACCAATCGACCCCATGGCAGACAGTATGTATGGTTCCTTACCCTTTCCATGTGTTTAGCCCAGTCGACAGATTGGACACGCCCATGTACTGCGCATAGCCCAGATCCGCGACAAGGCTGGAGGACGACTGAGTCACAGTACTCTGCCGTTTGCTTAAGAGACCATCGAACGCTTTGCTGTTATAGCTTGGGGTCGCAGCTGAGATCACTGCTGCCAAATAGGCGTGTATCGCGATGAAGAACCTCATAATGGAGGAGATGGAGGGAGAATTAAAGCTTCGAAAGAACGAGGGTAGTAATTTTTATGTAGGATAGAAGGAGCGCTCATCGGCCCACGTCTCAGCAAATTGCGCATGCAAGAACAGCCCCGAATGGACTTATTAGATAATATCAACCAATCACAGCCTCGGAAATCATGGGGGCCCTCATGCTTAGAAAACTCTCAGAGTTGGAGCTTTGGTGAGTCTTCTTGTTCGCTCGCACCTATCTCGGCAATCAGCAAAAGCACTACGTCAACATTGTTCTGTTTGGTGATTAACGGAGTGCCGGGTTGAGCTGCAATTCCGATCTAGTGCATCAGGTGCATCCCCTGGGTAAGGTAAAGAATCCTTTGAAATCACTCATTGGAGGATTTCGAGGATTAAGCAGTGAAAGAAAGTACTGTACAGTAAGGTATGTCAGGCTGAGCTTGTAGCATTGCCCCTCCTTTTTGACGCTTGTGTCATAAATGGGGATCCAAGATCTCTGTAATTTGTTAATCGTTACAGTAATTTCACGAATCTGTAGATCTAGGCCTTCGTATTAAAACTTGTGATCACGTGCACCTGAGCTCGCCCATCGGGCTTATCTGAGAGTTCTGATTGGTCAAGACAAGCTTAGTAATCAAAATCTTGCTATCTTTTCTGCCCTAGTACTTGTATAGCCCTGATACGATGGAACCTCGGAGTTACCTAGTCGTGTTACTCGTAGTATATTTCACCGCTTTAATCGTTACCTCGGCGTCGGCGTTTATCGGATAGCCTCACTGTTTGCGAGCACTAAAGTCTAAACGCATACTATCCTCAGCAACTTCCGCCTGCAGAGAAGTACCCAGGACTTAGTTTGACATTACGTGGTGTACCTACCTTACAGCCTCTCTACCGCAAACAATAATGTTCGATTATCTGGTCCTCGCGGCTGTCCCGGGACTTGCACTGGCTCCCAATGCGGTTTGATCTTCCACATCCGGCTCTCCACTCGCCACCGACTTCCCGTCTTCTTCCCCACTTCTTCCCACATTCTCGTAAAGCTCTCATCATTATGAAGGAACATATTCGCCAAACCTGCGTCTTTGAAAGCTGTGGGGTAAACGCCAGCGCTTATGTGTCCAACATGCTGACCTACGGCCCGGGAGCCTGGCCGCGGTTTCAGAAGCGCAACGAAGCGCATCGCGAGCTCGATCTGGGTCGCGTAGTCGAAGCAATGAAAAACATCTTTGGTCGAGATAACGTCCAGGTCGCCATCGAAACGGCATAACGGGCTGGCTTGGTCCATGATATCTGCTGCGATGAAGTGGTCCTGGGGGATGATGGTCTCATCTTTAAAGAGCGCATAACCCAGCGGGAAATAATCGCCCCGCAAATCGGTCCCGTAGACGCTTGACACAGGCGCCCCTTCGTAGACCATTTTACGCAAGTCCTGCCCAAACATGCATCCGACATCAAGAAGCTTCCCGCCTTGCATCAGAGTGTGCAGGATGGAGGTGTGAAGCTGAGCGCGTGGTTCAGGCAGGTCTGTGCATTTGATGCCGAAGTCGAGGAAGAGGAGCAAGCCAACGGTAGGATACGGGCAGATATCCCACGCAGCATCGCGCTATTATCGTGAACATTAGCAAAATAGAGGTCACCATGACCAATGATGTTTTGGGTTTACATACCACCTTGGTTATATGGCCGACTAAATCTTCTGCAGGGATTTTACTATAATTCAATAGCAGGTCTCGCATCTCAGGCCTGATGTTACTCTCGACATCGGGGTTGTACCAAGCGACATCTTTGCTCGGTCGCTCCTTGTCAGGTTGTGGAACTTGTAATGCCGTCATTCTCAAAGCGTGAGATTGTTGTTGGGTAAGGGAATGCAGTTCTCGATCTTCTTGTACGGCCAACTACATTAGCTTTACTACTCACTCCCGGGAATAGACTGGTCATTTGGAAGCTCTTAAATGCCGCACCAACGAAGAATTTGCACTTCTCGGGGTTACGCGAGGCTATAGCAAGGAGATAGTAGCCGAGTTACCGGTCATCTGGACTGTCGACGAAAAGCTCCACAGAGTCAGACAAGACGTCCTCGTGCGTCATTGACGAAAAAAACGAGAGGGCTCATTGGTGGAAAGGAGTTTTCACCTCCTGCAAGCAAGCGAAGGAAATCCCCCGCACTTGATCCGTTTTCTGCAGAACCGCTTTGAAACACAGTAACTTTGATATGCATTATGCATCCCGAAAAGTCTCCCCGTCTCTGCATGAAACTAATAATCCTGATCGTTAAGCAAGCGAATGAGCGGTATCGTATAGGCATCATGTCTATTCCGGCTGGATCCTAGGTCCGTAGGCTAGGCTTGCCTTGCCTGGGTTAGAATCGAGCTTCAATCTGGGCTTACATTATTGGTCTGCATCATTCCCTATCGTTCCGTCTCCCCGATCATGCGTCGTCCCCACCCAAGTACCTTGACTTCGCAACGAAGGCGGGGACTTCTGAGAGACCTGATGTGCAAGCCGACGCCGAAAGCCCACCTTCTTCAATTGGGTGTATTGACACCCACCCTGCCTCATGTAACCCCAAAATTCTTGTGTTTCGCCCCCGCTCTATCATAATGCTACGTGATGATGCTACATAATGACGCCACTATACATCAATAATCTTACATAAGGTGTGCTGATTAGCCGAGCAAGTCTGCCCTCAAACGACTTCTGCAGGTACTCTCTCTTTCTCTGCCCTCCAAGTCTCACGATCTGACCCATTGATGTCGTCCCAGTGAGCTTGCCATCTCAATTGAGTCACTCTCCAAAAATTCTGCTCTGAAGACGATGGAGGCGACCGATAATGACCCAGAGGTATCTTCCTCCTGCATTCAATAGCTTTAGCTGCATTTGGGGGAACTGATGTGAAGTTTCTCCGATCCAGGTGCTACGCGATATAGAGGAGGACCAAAACATACAAATCATTCCTGGTACCGAGATTATGATCGATGCTGGGAATCATCACTTTATCAGGTCTGCAGCCGATCGCGTACTGGTGCCGCAACCTTCGAGCGACCCTCACGACCCGTTGGTCAGAGCCCCGAATCTGCAATTGCACCTACACTCCTCAAGGTACAATCCGCTGACGTGATAATGCTTGAAGAATTGGGACCCGTTTTGGAAAGCTTCAACCACAGCCTCTGCGACCTTTGTCTCCTTTGCTCAGGGTTTCGGTCCTCTGGCGATCGCGCCCATGTTTCCCATGCTGGCACAGGAGTTCAAATCGGATTTATCGAGTGTGGTGCAGTTTACAGGCGTTACGATTCTCGTCTTGGGTTTCAGTAACTTTATCTGGTATCACTTCCTCATCCTATGGACGAGTAACCACTTTTCTAGGTACTGATCAATTTGCTACACAAGGATCCCATTGAGTTCTACTTTTGGTCGTCGTCCAGTGCTCCTGGCATCAACCCTTGTTTCTCTAGGCAGCTCGATCTGGAAAGCAAAAGCAACAACATACGGAAGTTTCATGGGTGCTTGCGTGCTCAATGGTCTAGGAGCTGGCCCAGGTGAGGTCTGATGATGCTTGACACGGTCTACCGCATTTAGACCGCTGAACATCACACTAGACATTACAACCTCAGATTATAACGGATTATGTCTTTTTACATGATAGGGGAAAATACAACACCTTGTATTTTGCCTTATATTTTGGATCGTTGGCCGTACGTAGCAGCTTCCTCGTTCCGATTGAGGGAACTAATAGATATCTAGCTGTCTCCCGTCGTCGCTGGACTCCTAGCCGAACACACTGGCTGGCGTAACTTTTGGTGGCTGAATGTCGCTCTACTGGGCGCAGCGTTCGTCGTGTCTTTCTTTGCCTTCCCGGAAACCCGATGGCATCGTCACCGAGCCAACGACATTCAGACTAAAACGCGTCATCCATCGAGTACCTCTTTAGCAACAAACCCAGAAATGAACGGCAAGACGAGTCCTCCTAACCTGGAGAACGGGGTGGCTGATCAACCTTACACACCCGTGCAAACCCCAATCCAGCATGGTAAACCGGGGAGAAAGCAATTCGACCTCTTCCAACCCAACCAACAACCTCTAAAGACTCTTCTCATAGAGCTTTGGACGCCCTTCAAGTTGTTCGCTTTCCCCATTGTCGACTTCGCCTCCTTGGTCGTTGCTTGGAGCACCGCATCATTTTTGATAGTAAACCTGACTCAATCGCAAGCCTTTTCCGAATCACCCTACCAGTATACAGCACAGACCGTTGGATTCTTTAACTTCGCAGTCGTCGTTGGTCTCTTGTTGGGATTAGGGACGGCAGGACCCCTCAACGATTGGATCAGCATGCGTGCAACGAAGCGCAACAAAGGGATTCGGGAACCTGAAATGCGCCTGCCTGCTATGATTCCTTACACCCTGATCATGATCTTGGGAAATTTTGTGGTGGGATTCGGGTATCAGTATCATTGGGATTGGAAGGTACGTCGTCTTCCTTCACTTCTTCCTCTGACATGGCGTTTTCTACAACTTTTTTGGAGAAAGAGACAATTCCTCGTGCTAATTAGCATGTTTCCTACGTCAGGCAATCGTCATTGTCGGTTACACCTGCGCCGGCATCCAAGTAGCATCAATCCCAGCCATTGCTTCCACCTACGCCATTGACTCCTACAAGCCCGTCACAGGCTCCATCTTCGTCAACGTGACCGTCGTCAAGAACCTTTGGGGCTACGGCCTCTCACGCTTCATCACGGAATGGAGTATCGCAGACGGGTTTGTTGATCCTTTCATGACCAATATGTGTTTGACGGCGTTGTGGTGTATTTGCGGGGTGTTGTTTTGGTATAAAGGGAAGGCGCTGAGGCATCGGACAAAGGACTCAAATATCCATGACACATAAGTGTTCGGACTGTGTGCTATTCTTCAGCATGTGCCAGCAGATCTTCGAGGAAGTCAATCCGCGGTTTAGGCTGTTGAGATGTTCGACGCCCGAGGGAGGTCAGCCCTCGCTGTGGTTGAGGCGCTATATTTGAATATGCACTTCACTTGAACAATCATCCAAGAAGAGGCTGTAGGCGTATGGATACTAGGAATGGGGACTCTGCTAGTGGTCTACTCTTCGCAATCTCGTATCGAAATTTGGAACCATGCAAAAAGCACAGACCAGGCGCACGCGCGCGTAGCTGTGCATTCTGATTCTAGTGTGTTCTCAATGTAATGCGTAGCTCGGCCATCTTTCCTCGGAGTCCGAAGGGGGTGGCATAATTAGCTGCCTCGCCTGAATTCGCTACACCTCTTACGAGCGTGCCAAAAATTGGCAAAAGGTGTGGGCAGACGATTGGGGCAGCATGTATTCAGGCCGGAAGGATGTGAAAAGATGGTCGTGGGTCTTGATAGGGCTACCGAGAAGCGACCCGCGCGCCTAGCAAGCACTTGGTTAGAAGAGTAAGTTGTCGGCACTGACCCGTATCCGATAAACGCCGAGAGGCAACAAATCCTCTCGGCGTTTATCGGATAATGACGGTATTACTATTCCCGTAAGTAACCCGCCCGTAAGCTCCACATTTCTTTCGGCCTTGCCCGGACCCGGATTACGAGGGTCGGATCTCGGCAAAACAATCTTGTTTGGTGTTGTGTTAATTCAAAGTACGTAAATATGTGCTGCACTCACTTAGCTTGACATATGAGTACTTTATTGTTTCAGGGACTGAAAGGGGCATGATTTGACCGGAGCCGAATTGCAAAAATGCTTCGATCTCGGGACTTGTCAGATATTCTAGCAAATCATGATTCGCACCACCCCCTCCCAAAGTATTATACGCAATGCACCCACATTCAATCAGTTGCAATGGGATGCCTATACACCCAGTGCAGGAGACGGTCGAGGCAGTGATGAACTCCTAGCCACCAGAAAGCAGGACGTTGTAGCAATGCATTCCCTCTGCTTGAATCCCATCTCTTTTGCGCAGATCGACCCTTGCTCGACCCGGGAACTTGCATTTTGGGCGGTGTGGCACGATCAGCAACCCCTCCTGCTGCTGCATCGCTCTTCATCATGCAAATTTGTCAATCACGCAGTAGCCTCGTCCACCCCTCTCTAGGTCGTTTATATTCTCCGTGTCGTCCAGCATGTCAGTCTTCGAGATCTCCGTCACCCTTTCAGTCTCGTTTCACGAAGCAATCATTATGCTATTGTCGCGGATACCATCTCCACAAGCCAAAGTTGGCGGGCTGCCACCTCCTCCTGGTACCACAGTGGATTCGGACCATCCAGACACGAATTTGTACAAATACAACATTGCTTGCCAAGTTCTCTGTTATTGCATTGTGGGGCCAAGCGTGCTGGCAAGGATCTACACCAAAATCTTTATAAAACGAAAAGTCGGGTCCGAAGATTGTAAGTTCTTGCCCACTTCCACTTTGCTACCTCCGGACAAGCTGATGAGTGGGAGACTGTTGCATACTGGCATGGGTCGGTCTCCATCTCTCTTCAAGTGCCGAGAGTTTCATCTTACAGTGTTTAGCTACTCGCGATTACACAAATCGCCATAGCCCTGAGATGTGAGTGGGTTTTTGAAGGGTCACATCTGAAAGCACGGGGGTATGCCTTCGCTCCACCGTACTAAAGAGCAACAGGTAACCTCTATCGTGGCGGTTCTCATCAACGGGACGTTCCTATGAGCTATGTTGCACCTTTTCTTCGCGTCAGTGGTCTCTCTTTGCCCTGCTGCCGGCCAGAACGCGCACCTAATATTCTTGACAGCTTCAGTACTTTTCACAGCTCGTATACTATGGCGCCGCTTTCTTCACCAAGACTTCAATCCTCTGCTTGATTGCACGAATCTTTGCCCCGCATCACAGAGCCGTCTTCTTCACACGGGTGATCATAGTTCTCATGGCTCTTTATTACATGCCAGCTTTCTTCATCAAGGTCTTCAGGTGTGATCCGATCCACAAAGTCTGGGATACCATGGTACTAGGGAAATGCATCGCCAGCGAGCCGACCATCTTTGTCGCGGATTGCACCACCAGCCTTGTTTCCGATCTAGCTATCTTACTACTACCGATGCCATTAGTGTGGCAGTTGAGGACTTCGTTGAGACGCAAGCTACGTATCATGGTGGTCTTTGCTGGCGGCACATTGTAGGTCCGCCTTTTCTGGGCCTGCCACCTGTGGTCCTAGCTCGCAGATCGTATAGCGCTGACATCATCTATAGAGCTTGTGCGGCAAACGTAGCTCGCACCATACAGACCTATACGTTGGACTCTGAAGATGCTACTTATTCGATCGAGGTGATCATGCTTTGGGCGTAAGTGATTTTACCCTTGGCGTCAAAGTCCCGACCAGCTGATTACATCCGCACAGCATTGCAGAGGTAAATATCGGGCTCATCTGCAGCTGTTTACCCATACTTCCCGCTTTCTACCAACATATGCTCAGACCGACGAGCGAGTCAAGCTCCAACATTTCCAGCTACCATCGATTGAAAGCGCTGAAGACAGTTGCCTCTGGTGCTGAACGAACCAATTTGAGCCACGAGGAAGAGGCGCCGAATGAAGCAGCGGCTCGTAAAGAGCTTCCAGGGGGGAGCCATGTTACGGGGGGGCTTTCTTTTTCTGTTCAGGGTGGGTCCGATCCGGTTGAGGAAAAGGGGACTTGTTGGAATGGTGGTGGCATCCTGAAGACCGTGAATGTAGAGCAGAGTGGAGTTTCAGTGCCCGAACGCGCTAGCTTGCCTGTAGCGCATATCGGGGCGGCTCGGCCAATGAGACATTGACAGGAGGCGTGAGATATGATTCGGTGAGAAGCCACGGCCTGAGTTTACGACAGGAAGAAGGAAAAGACGTCCAGGCCATCCTTGGGATTGTGAGACGCTCTCCTCAGGAAAGCATAGACGATCCTGCATAAATGTTCAAGATACCACAAAGATGCTCCATGATCATTATGTCCCAATGATTGAACTGCTAAATTCGGTCAGAGACGGCAGTAGGAAGCGGTACAGGAAAGCAGGTATGGTGCACTAGTTCATGTGCAGTAATCCCGCAGTGCATTTAGCTCACTTCCCGACCACCCCCCCCCTCTCCCGGCGAATCCCTCAGCTCCCAAATTTGAGGATGCGGTTTCGCACGGAATGTTGTCCAACCTTTCAACCCGATCGATATTGCCCAGAGAAAAGTTTCGTCAGAGTGGTCCGTTGTGAAAGTAAGCCTGGAGACAATGTTAGAAATTTTGAAACCAACGGTTGGCCGACAACTGCATTACCGGCTACAGTCCTAAGCCGGGCAGTGCCATGTTTTGCGCAGAGTAGCCCTCGGGGTAGTTGAGGAAGGGGAGATCAAGAGGGTGCGAACGCAGCCGGTGTTTCCGTTCTCCCCAGAAGCTGGGGACCGTTCCAGGCAGGTTGGGGATCCATCTGGCCCCGAGTGGGAGGAAAAAATCCGCTTCTTGCGTAACTGCGGGATAAATTGAGCTGAGCGCCCTGGCAAAGATTGTGCGGAGCTCGATCCGGGAAGGCCCCGCGGGAGGAAAAAAAGATGGACCGTTTCGCTGAAAAAGGGGTGCCGGCGGTTGCGATTTGACGTACTGATGATGGATGCTAACCCAGGCATCCAAACGGTCCGGAAGAACCTTGGTGGTCCGAAGGCCTAGGCTAGTCCACAACGGAGATGTTTGTCCGAACGAATACAGTCCGGGCGTCGTCTGGATTAGTCCGGATTGGATTGGTCCAGACCAACAGTCTAGGGGAGCTCGGACGTGTTACGCCCCTGTTCCATACATGTACCAGCCTCGAATCAATATAGGCACACGCTCTCAGATCGGGCTATTGTTGGCGATTTTGGCCTGCGGCGAAGGAAGTGTCTCACATCCTCACATATCAAAGCAGTCGGATCCCTTTCTTGCAGAATTGCCCTAAAATAACAGCAAGAGATCCTCTCTCACACACTCTTGACCGTTGAGGCAGTCGGACCCGTTTTCTGCAGAACTGCCGCAGAGTTGTGATCTCAAAGGGTCTTGCGGAAAACGGATCCGACTGCTTCAATGGTTGACAAGGTATCGTCGCCTAGCCCGCTGCATGATGCACACGGAGACCTTAAACATCATCATATCCACAACCGCCTTGATGATATACCGTATTCTGCTACCGAACCTGATTCCATACCTCTATCTACTCTCAGGTAAAGCTGCCAGGAACTCTCGTCAATTTTCAGAGGCCGTTGGCGCTGCAGCAAACGAAAGTTGTGAAGAAGCTGGTTTCTTTTTCTTTGCCTTTGCTGACATTACCAGTAATGAAGTACGTTGATCACATTCAGGACCGCCCTGTCAAGGCTACCGTCAGCCCGGGTTACCTTAGAAGCCTCCTTCCAACAGATCCTCCAAAGAACGGGGAGAGATGGGAAGACATACAAAAAGACATCGGGGGCAAAGATCATGCCTGGGATGACGCATTGGTTAGGGCACCATCGTCATAACAGAAAGATGCCACCAGGAGGAGCCCGCGCCGAAGGAACGGCCAATGTATTCCCAATTCGGATTGTCAAGTTTTGAGTGTTTCTGAGGCCAACCGTCTATAGTCGTTGCTGAGCTGGCAGAAAGAAGTCACAGGGCTTGCAATGTCGGAAGAAGCTGATCGACATAGGAAGCGGAATCTGGTAGGCAGATTGGAAGTCGCGCATATAGAGGATACCTGTGACATCGCTAGAAGATGCGGAACAACTTGGACAACAATCTGTATTGTGGCCTGGTCGCGTTACAAGTACCTATAGAACGACTCCGTCGATTCCCTATTTCCTCCATGACAGGGCGAAAACTGTTACCGTGTGGAGAAGCAGCTCAAGCATGGGGAGGAGCTGTGCCCGCTTTGACTCCATAGTGATACAGTATCGCTGTAGGGAAGGACCATTTGCGGAATTGCTAGGCGGAACTGGAGTGAGGTGAGAAAGGGATTATCTTCTTCCCGGATAGTAAAGGAGATGAGATTGATTCATCTTAAATCTTTCGTCGCGTATTTTCCGGACGAGTAAATACGAGCTCGCAAGCCTAGTTCTGAACATGCTCTATACCTGGACTATGGTCAGACCACTTGTAGATCTCTTCCACACCGTTCACCCGAGCTCTGGAGAAAGATGCAATGAGCTTGGGATAAAGGAGAATTAGGCGCAGCAGAGCAAGCTGAGCATGCAGCATTGGCAGTGCCGACTAGGGCAGGTCTGCCCGAGGCGGCCGATTCCCAGTACTACCTTAGCCATGGATTTGGAAGGGGCGTGGTGGTGTGTTACCGACTGATTTTCGCCCCAAAGTCTAGCGGTTCGCCTAGTAGCTGAGGGAACACCCGCCCAAACCGAACCTTGTACTTGGTAAGGTACTCAATAGGCCTATTATTTAAGCTGCATTGAGTGGCATTGATTGGTGTCCTCTCCATAAAAAGCTTGCCACACTTGCTGGCCGCTCGATACTACCTTGATTTTTGAAGGCTTTAGGAGGCTAAAGGCTAGGCTGTCGCTCTCACACCAAGGAACGTCTATTCCGACTAAATACAAGGTTGACCATGACGCCAATTGCAGTGCATCGTAAACGGCGGCCGAACTCAACTAGCGGCCATTCATGAATAATAACAAAGACGGTTTACGTCTGGAGCTCCTACTTCCGCCTCCTACTCTCCCCTGAGCCCGATTGGCGATGGAGACTATTGATGATATGCAAGGCGAAATTCCTCGTCGACCACTTCTTGAAAGTGCTTAGATCCTTCCTCAGCGCACAGCCTGAACGAATTTGTAATACTCTCCCCATTTAAGGTTCGAATGTGAAGGTATCGTTCCGTAAGTAGGATCGCAACGTACTATACGCCTAAATGCGAATACGCAGCCCAGATCAGTGGGCTTTTGCGCGTATTTCTCAGCTGCAGCATCGCTGCACGCAAACTTTTGGCACACCTTCTCACATCAATGTCCATATCAGCGCTAAGAAGGCCCTGGTAGAACGCCTTAGCTACATCAACGCATTCGTCGTCCAATACTGTCCACCATGTCGATATCGTATTCGGAACACCAGCCCTCTGGAACCCACCAGAAATGTAATGCCCTCATCAAGTAATTGAGCATCCTGGTTCACGGTCGTCTCACATGCTGAGAGGTATACAAGCTGACAGCGTTGAAAATGTGCTTCACTTAAAGTCTGGACGCTCAGTGTCTCTTTGCCATAGTCTCTGAAGAGGAGCTGGCTTTTCATTGGAGCAAGATTATCGGTTTCGCCGTGGGAAGCAATATGCGCTATTGTGCAGCTTTCGAGGTGGTTGATGACTTCAGACGTATATGGTTCGCGCAGAACACATGTATCGAAGTGAGCGTTGATAACAGATCTCATAGTATCTGTTTCTGTCATGGTTTTGGGAAGGCTTCGTCTATCTGCTGTCGTCCGCATGGCAACCAAGAGTGCTTCGCGAGGTTCTTCTGCATACTGGGAAGAACAGTCTTCTATTCTCTTTCGCGCTTCTCTGAGAGCCCGTAGCGTTGGAGTATAAGAAGATTCAGTGAGATCAAGGACACTACAAGGCTCGCCTGTAGCCGCAGCTCTCTTATGGTCGCCGGCAGCATGGAGAGGTAGCAGATTCGCCTACGATGATGTGACCCACCAAATTCGTGGCCTTTGGCCCTGAAAACGTCTATCAATGGAGATGGGAGGAGATATTAGTATTGGCCGTACGATTGCAGTCCAGAGCCAAAAAAAGACTTCACGAAGTGACTTGTCCGACAAGTCCTATCGATCCCGTGGAATATCTTCATCCTCGAATATCTTAAGGAGCTGCTTCAATTTTCTATACGGTTCCTCGCACCCATCTTGCCAGCCATGGGACGGTGAATATTATGAAGTTTATCCGCGCAGATCACGATGGTGTCACTGCGGAGACCGGTAACATTGAGTATTACAACCGGGCCGTAATCAGCAAGCGCTCTGACCTCGAATTCGTCGAAGTCTTGAGATCATGTACGAGCACCACCGCGTTTCTTCATATCGTTATGTAGAGTCTTCTGTCGATCCTGCAATGTAACAGAATCCTGTAAATTATTATTGGAGTTTTTCGATGTCTCAGCAGCTGCAGCGTCTTGCTGCAGGTTCTCTCATCTCGTTGCAAGATCCAGATCTTCCTTTTGGCTTGATCGAGGGGTAAACGCCATGTTAAGAGCTGTTCCCGTATCACACTTCGTCATTTCTCGAGAACGGATCTTGTGGTAGTAAGCGGCTAATCTGCCGCAATGTATACTGAAGCAGCTAATTTTGGCGTGTAATGTAATTTTCTGATGAGGAAGAGCTGATCCAGTCGTCTAAGTCCAATTGGTATTGCATGAGGCATCAGCATACATGCTATACTTATACAAGATTTTGTTGTGTCATCAACCTGGTCAAGACACTTTAAAAAGGAAATCGCAGCCATGGTACCCGCCCAAAGCCGATGGGCAGCATCGAAACAAGGGTTAACCAGTATTCTTATGCACACACGGGTTGCCTCGAGTCCTAGATCTTTTTCGTAACGAGAAAAGAAGATCTTGAGTAGTAGAACGGCAGCGACTCAGATATAGCTTGTTGCTTGGTTTCCAGCTCTTACTCTTCGGGGGTGGATCCATTACCACATGTTCAATTCGTAACGCGAGTGACTTGTACGAAGCATAGTTCTCGTTGCTGAAGGTTTTCCATTCCCAGACACTGTCCATAATACCATTCATATTCACTGCTAGCTTGTCAGGGTCCGCCAAAAATTCGAGTGCGAGTTCTTGGCTGTACCCATTCTCGGCGGTGGTGGCGGATTCTGCTTCCTGGCTTTGCAATCCAAACGCCACCGAAGCTTTATAAATCTTTTGAAGAAGATAAGAGAATTTGCGGCGGTGTAAGGTTCTTGTGTCTGATCTTTTCATTTCCGCTTTCAAAGCCCCCAATGCTACAACAAGATCTCGTGCATTCCTCAAATTAGTCTGTGGTTGAATCATAGCACTCAGCTGAACAGACGACACAAATCCAATGATCGTCTTCGTGCGAAGAATACTTGCTGGCCCCATGAGTTGCAATGCCGAGCGAAAGGAGTTTTTTGCGGCTTCGATGTGCGGAAGCCCATGGGTTATCAAGAACATACGTATAGCTGCCGATCTATAAAGACCATGTAGCAGAGATTCATACGGATGTGTACCGGGTGCATGAACATTGTGAAAATGTTGCAAGGCAACCCTGAAGAATCCCTGTGCAATAGCAAGCTTGACATCACTACTACCTCGATCAAAGAGTGCAGAGTAGCTCTCCCCGCAGCTTTGAGCAACATAGGTTTTGGCCATTTCGGTTTGACAAGTGTTGATGCCGAAAAAGCTGTTGGTAAATTCCTCGACGAAGCTTTTGTCTCCTGTCCATTTGTAGAGTACTTTCAAAGCATGGGCCTTGGCGCTTCGGCCAAGATGCATAGCCATTTGATCCGGAGGGTTGACAAGCAACTGATCAAGCATAGCGAGTACATCATTTGTCCGATCCTGGTTCAGGCTTAGCTCGTGGGCTAAGTTCCGAGCTTTACAATATTGAAGTTTGTAGTACCATGTGTCGAAGTCATCATCGATACAAAATTCCACTGCAGTCTGTGCGAGAGTGACTGCGACCAATGCATCCCCCAGATGATCTTCATTGGTCGCTCGCATTTGTAGCAGGATGCTGCAGCTGTTCAGTACCGCTGGAATTTGAGTACTGCCATTTTGTGACTTTTCGAGAGCCTCTTATAGGATTTCGAGCCCGTCATCGAGATCCCTTCGCGAGTAGGTCGCCAGAAAGCGCTTCTGAAGTGCTATTCCCAGGACCGCTACATGTTGGGAAGCCCCGCCTGTAGCCAGAACGTCCTTGCGGGCACTTATGACCAAAAGTCGAGATCTTCTTTTGAAAGCAGATAATCCATACCTACCAGGAAGTTGAAACATCAAGAAGAATTATCTATGAAATGTCCACGGCCTGGCATATAGCAATTAGTGCACCGCCCTAAGGGAGAAAGGCATTATGGCTGTGTCGAACTACTTGACCGACAGCCCTCGTGGTAGGCTTCATCGAAGGCCTTCATCGGAAGCGAAGATATGCATCAGCGGCCATGGCATCGCAGAAGACACTTGATGCACACTATGCAGAGCAGATGCGACACCATCCCAGCGGCTACGCCATATACGAGCCCGTGAGCAGTGCCGATTTGAGGCCAGGCAGCTGTGGCTATTTCGATGACAGTGGGGAATGGACGACAATCGCTCAATTGGATAATGTCATAAAACTTAAGCGTGAGGGATTTGAGCCTCCAGCGTCTCTCGAAAAGGCCGAAGACATGGTCACTAGAAGTTGGCATCCAAAGTGCTCAACAGGTGTGAACGCGACAGAGCTTGACTTGGGCATAGGGATTCCGTAATTCTGCTCTCAAAAGCTTGCTTTGCTCTTCCAACTCTCAGGGAGACATTAGGCCTGTGTGCATCAGTACGAGCCGCCCTCAAGTATACTTCTTTCTCAGATTTCGGCGCTATCCTGATGACAGATTCGCCTGTTGAAAAGGAAGTAGGAGATGCTTCCGCCAAGGCACTAGGCCATAATCTTAAGTGGTTCGAGACGCGTTCTCACTTTTCGCGTCAAGTCGCGTCCACGCGCCAAAGCACTTCCCTCTCTAAAGTAATGGACCTCCGCAATCCTTCGTCAACAACCATTTGCGAGATATGTCTTCACCAGCTCCCCGTCGGTCGCGGCCAGCGTCAGTACAAGGAACGCCCCAAGCTACACGCCAGAATATACCCTCTTCATCCCCACTCTTTTACCAGTCATCTCCAGCGGCGCCAATCGGAAACGCAAATGGAAATGCGAACATGGACATCAGCTCGCCTCTGAAGCAGGTCTCGGTTGCAGGCAGTACTCCTCGAGCGCCCCCAGGTGGTGAGTTAAGAACCTGCAAGGGATCACAAATGCTAATTTCGTAGACTCATCCCCAATACGCTACGCATCGTCATCTAGTCCCACCCGAGCTGCCGCGAATGGTGGCCGACAACCCGATATACCAACAAGCAGCAGCGGTCTCTTCGTTCGATCTTCGAGATCATCTGCACCCGGTACCTCTGGTCTCAACAATTCGAGACGAGGGGACATCCATTCCGACGTCTTTGGTTCAACCCCTAGCCGCCGCCGCCGATTGTTCGTTGACGAGAATGGCGTGCCCGTTCGAGATGGGGCTCCTTCCGATCCGGCAACCTTTTCCAATCTTGACCCTAACACATCAGAAGCCGATGCCATTGGAGGCTCATCTACGAGAATCATTTGGGGGACGAATATCTCCATCCAGGACACGATGTCTACATTCAAAGAATTTCTTTTGGGCTACCAGAAAAAGTACCGCATGTGGGCCGATGGTGCTACAGAGGAAGAGACTTCCGAGCCTGGGAGCGGAGGCAATGAGAAGGAATATGTTCAGATGCTGAACAACATGCGCCAATTGGGAGTTACTGGGCTCAACCTTGACGTCCGAAATCTCAAGGTGTTTCCGTCTACCGTCAAGCTATGGCATCAATTGCAAGCATATCCGCATGAAATTGTCCCGCTCATGGATCAGGCAATTAAGGACATCATTGTGGACCAAGCCCAGGAAGAGATGAACAGGCTGCGATCAGAGCAACAGCTACTGCGCGCACAAGCGAGACCTGATAGCTCTATGCCAGCAGTACCGAGCTCAGAGACCAATGGACACGTTGAGCAGCAGTCAATGATTCCGGACTTGGTACAAGAAGCGGAGACAAAGGTGTATAAAGTCAAACCTTTTGGACTCGATAGCTCTGTGAATATGAGAGAGTTGAACCCAAATGGTGAGTGCGTGCGCGAAGATGAGATATCATGCAGTGCTGATACGGTTGCAGATATGGACAAGATGGTCAGTATCAAAGGTCTGGTCATACGAACCACTCCAGTCATACCAGACATGAAGACAGGTAAGAGAATAAAAACACAGTCTCGCCAGAAATAGAACTGATGAATTCCCTAGCATTCTTCCGATGCCAGGTCTGCAATCACGCGGTCAACGTTTCCCTTGACAGAGGAAAGATTGCTGAACCGACAAGATGCCCTCGACAGGCTTGCCAGTCTCAGAATTCGATGCAGATTGTGCATAATCGTTGCGAGTTTGCGGATAAGCAAGTGATCAAGCTTCAAGAGACCCCGGACAGTGTACCAGATGGCCAGACGCCCCACTCGGTATCTCTATGCGCATACGAGGAGCTCGTCGACGTGTGCAAGGCTGGTGATCGCATCGAAGTCACTGGTATCTTCAGAAGCAACCCGGTCCGCATCAATCCAAGACAGCGGACGATCAAGGCCTTGTTCAAAACGTACATTGATGTTCTGCATATCCAGAAGGTCGACAAGAGGAGACTGGGCATTGATGTTTCGACGATCGAACAGGAGCTCTCTGAACAAGTCGCGGGCGATGTCGAACAATCCAGAAAGATCAGTGAAGAAGAAGAGCAAAAGATTAAAGCTACTGCTGCCCGAGGTGATGTCTATGAGCTATTGGCGCGATCGTTAGCTCCAAGCGTTTATGAGATGGACGATGTAAAGAAAGGTATCCTGCTCCAATTGTTCGGAGGTACAAACAAGTCTTTCGAAAAAGGAGGAAGCCCAAAGTACCGCGGGGATATCAACGTGCTGCTCTGCGGTGATCCCTCGACATCGAAATCGCAAATCTTGAAGTACGTTCACAGAATCGCACCTCGAGGAGTTTACACCAGCGGCAAAGGATCTTCAGCGGTCGGCCTCACGGCCTATATCAGCCGAGATCCCGAGACACGACAAGTGGTCCTCGAGTCTGGTGCGCTGGTGTTGTCAGACGGCGGCGTTTGCTGTATTGACGAATTCGACAAAATGTCAGATTCGACTCGATCTGTTCTGCACGAGGTGATGGAGCAGCAGACGGTCTCCATTGCCAAAGCTGGCATAATCACCACGTTGAATGCTCGGACCAGCATTCTCGCTTCCGCAAATCCGATTGGAAGTAAATACAATGTCAATCTTCCGGTACCGCAAAACATCGATCTTCCACCAACACTGTTGTCTCGATTTGATTTGGTCTACCTCGTCCTCGATCAAATTGACGAGCAGAATGACCGACGATTGGCACGACATCTTGTGGGTATGTATCTCGAGGACACACCCGAGAATGGAAACGCTCAGGAAGTTCTCGTAAGTTCTAACTTTCACCAGCTCAATGCATGATCTCTAACTCTGCGCCAGCCCATTGAATTCTTGACCTCCTACATCTCCTATGCACGTACAAAATGCCAACCCAAAATCACACAAGCTGCTTCCGAAGCTCTTGTCTCTGCATACGTTCAGATGCGTAAACTTGGAGAAGATGTACGCGCCGCTGAGCGCCGCATCACGGCCACGACTCGTCAATTGGAATCCATGATTCGTTTAGCAGAAGCTCATGCCAAAATGCGCTTGGCCGAGGAAGTCACTGCTAATGATGTGCATGAAGCTGTGCGATTGATCAAATCGGCGCTCAAGCAGGCTGCCACAGATGCAAGAACAGGCTTGATCGATATGGGCCTCCTTACCGAAGGTACCAGCGCAAGTGAGAGGCGACGCAAGTCGGATCTGAAGAAGGCCATCACGGACTTACTTGATGAGATGACAAGGTCAGGCGGATCAGCCCGATACAGTGAAGTGTACAGACGAGTCAGTGAGCAAGGTAGCGCGCAGGTCGAAGGGACTGAATTTGCAGAGGCATTGAGAAGTCTAGAGCAGGAAGGTCAGGTGGTAGTGGGAGGCGAAGGGCCACGAAAGAACATCAGGCGGGTTACTGGCGTCGTTTGATCCCAACAAGTCGGTGTTGGATGTGTCAATGCAAAGGTCTTGCTTTTGAAGCGGTCACCGAGGAAGACTCGTTGGTTGTAATATAGCAGTGATGTTTAGAGCCAGAGTTATGGAAATTTATACTACCCTCGACCTCCCCGCTCTGAGTCCTCACGCAACAGAATTTACCTGTTATCAGAATTTACCTATTATCAGAAGCAACCAGAGTGGAGAAGTTCCCGCTCTGACATGTGTCACCCAAGATTAGGTTTTTGACAGGGCTGACTAGCGCGTTGGGCGCGTCACGTAGAGTGCTTGGTCCTCGACGTAAAATGAGTGCTTGTCAACTGGTCAACCTCGTTTACGTCAGTCAATTGGATCAATTGGATCTTGGAATTGCTCTCGCCATGGCTACTCCCCTCAAGCGTAAAGCCGGCGACATTGCTACCTCTACCGCCAAGAAACCAAAAGCCAATGCCACCATAACTTCCTTCTTCTCCTCGCCCTCCAGCACAGCAAAGCCAGCTGCCGCCGCTGCTGCATCTACAGCCTCTTCGACCGTCTCTTCTGCTCCTGCTACCGTCCACGATGACGCCTCTCAAAAGTCCACCGCATCAACAACTGCCACTACTGCATCCATCTTCACGTCTGCCGCCGCGGCCCCTCCACCAGCAGAAGCAGCGGCACCACCACCACCAAAGTTTGACAAAGGGAAGTGGGTCGAGAAGCTCACGCCTGAGCAAAAAGATCTGCTAGCACTGGAGATTGCGTCTCTGGATGAAAGCTGGCTGTCCCAGCTGAAAGATGAAGTTGTCACCAAAGATTTTCTCGATTTGAAGCGTTTCCTGAAGAAAGAGCATGAGAATGGGAAGAAGATTTTTCCTCCTGCAGCTGATGTGTATTCATGGTACGTTTAAGCTAAACCAAATCCTGCTATTCTACCAAATTATGTGGTTAACAAAGCGCATAGGTCCCGTCACACACCCCTGAACACCGTCAAATGCGTGATCCTAGGCCAAGACCCCTACCACGGCCCCAACCAAGCCCACGGTCTCTGCTTCTCAGTCCGCCCTCCCACCCCGGCGCCCCCGTCTCTCGCAAACATCTACAAGCTTCTCAAGATAGAATACCCCGACAGCTTCGAACCTCCTCCCAAAAAGGGGGGCTTGCTCACCCCCTGGGCAGACCGTGGTGTATTGCTCCTGAATACGTGTCTGACGGTGAGAGCGCACGAGGCCAACAGCCATGCAAATCAAGGTTGGGAGAAGTTCACGCAAAAGGTGATTGATATCGTGGCGAAGAAGAGGACGAACGGGGTGGTGTTTTTGGCGTGGGGAACCCCGGCAGCGAAGAGGGTGGCCAAGTTGGATAGAGTGAAGCATTGCGTGCTGCAGAGCGTGCATCCGAGTCCTTTGAGTGCGGCCAGAGGGTTTGTAAGTGCTTGCTTTCAATCCGTTTTTGAGTGGAAGGGTTGCTAACGGATTTTGGTAGTTTGATTGTGGACATTTCCAGAAGACCAACGCGTGGTTGAAGCAGAGGTATGGGGAGGATGGGGCCATTGATTGGAATTTGGACGTTCCTCCTGAGGAAACCAGCGTTTAAGAAGAAAAAGCAAGGCGTTGGAAGGGCGAGTAAAAGAAGGATTTGCCACATCGTATACAACGCAGCCTCACGACATTATTGACCTACGTGTCTCTGTTACAATGTCCAGCCTTCTTTGAAGGTGTACAGTCCGGGAGAAATATGCGAGGCCTCTGTAGACAACGGGACAATGAAATACAATCAGAAAGCACCGAGAAACTTTGGTCGTTCTGAGCAGCGGTGAGTGCCAAAGAAAGGGAAGTAGTGGGGGGGAATCACCCAACCTCAGAGTTCCCCGCAGGATAGCACAACCATGCTTCTTCAAGGCCTTCTTGCATTCGCAGGGGTACGCTAGATTCTCTTTGACGTCTTTTGTACTAGAGTAAATCAAAAGGCGACAACTCTTCCAGCACTGTAGGCAGACCTTGAATTATCATGGCTGTTTGTGATTTACGTATTTTGGCTATGGTTGGTAAAAATGAGATTTTGTCTCATCTGGAACGTGATTGTTGAGTGAATGTACTCTAGATAGAGTACATTGTTGTTAATGTACCTTACGATAGCCCGGGATAAGGTAGCTGGGACGAGCCGCAAGGTTACCTTAGGTCCGTCTCCGCTAGCCGGGTATCTTTCCCAGATTCTAAGGTAAGCTTTACGGTTTACTTTACCTTACGAGTGATGTCCAGCCATGCCTGCCAATCTACTCCCTTATAAGGTAGTATACATATTTTATGACTGTGATAACAATACTAGAGTTTTTCCTTTTGAGCTTTGAGCCCTGCATTCGAGTGATTGGGCGATTATTCTCCCATCTTTCTCACGTGGTGGTAGGGCATCGGGTAGTCTAGCCTTTAATCATTGCCCACACAAAATGTGTTGCCCATCTCTTTCACTGTCTGACCCCCCTCTCTCTTACCTTCTACTAGGCCGTTCCGCTCCGAATTACTGGCTCTTGAATAGCTTCATCTCCTACTCAATACTCACACACTCTCTTCTCGTCCATTTCTTGCTCTATACAGCATGGCTGTCACCAAGATCTTGGTGCTCGGGAGCGGAATGGTAGCTCGTCCTTGCGTGGAGTACCTCCTGAGAGATCCTAAGAACCATGTGACAATCGGTAATGATCCTACTCTTCAATCTCAGAGGTCCAAGCTTACTCAATGGTTTTCCAATAGCGTGTCGAACCTTGTCTACGGCTCAGAGCCTTGCATCAAGCCTACCTCAGACCACCGCTATCTCCCTTGATGTTTCCAACTCTATCGACCTTGACAGGGCCATCCAAGCTCATGATCTCGTGATATCACTCGTTCCATATATCTACCATGGCACAGTGATCAAATTAGCAATCAAAAACAAGGTCAATGTCGTGACAACAAGTTACGTATCCCCTACGATCAAAGAGCTAGAAAAGGCTGCAAAAGAGGCGGGGATTGTGGTTCTTAATGAGGTGGGCGTAGATCCCGGGGTCGATCATCTATGGGCAATTAAGAAAATCGAAGAAGTCCATGCAAAGGGTGGAAAGGTCCGTTGATTGTTGTCTGAATGATGATGTCGATCGCGCTGACTATTGAGATTGAAATAGGTGAAGGAATTCTACAGCTATTGCGGCGGTCTGCCAGCGCTTGAATGTGCGAATAATCCTCTTGGGTTCAAATTCTCTTGGTCTCCACGGGGCGCTCTCATGTCGCAAATGAACTCGGCCTCATTCATTCTCAATGGCAAACAAGTCGACATTGCTGCTAAGGATCTCATGGCTACTGCTAAGCCGTATTTCGTTGCAGATGGTTACGACTTTGTCGCCTATCCCAATCGCGACTCTGTCCCCTTTCGCGAGTTCTATAAGATCCCTGAAGCGGATACAGTCGTGAGAGGATCGCTGAGATACGAGGGTAACCCAGCGTTCATCAAGGCGTTCGCGGATGCTGGCTGGCTCGATGCTGATGAGAAGGGATGGCTGAAAGCGGGAATGACATGGGCACAGATCAGTCAACATGTTACTGGTGCTGATGATTCTACTGAGAGGTATATACCTCGGTTCTAGTCCATCATTGGAGATACCTAATGACTCTCTACTCTAGCTCTCTTCTCGCAAGCATCAGCAAGAAATGCAACTTTCCTAGCGAGGCTGAGCGCGATCGCATCACCTCGGGCATGCGTACCTTCGGTCTCTTCTCATCCGAAAAAGCAACCATACGCGGAGGTAATCTTTTGGATACTTTATGTGGCCAACTGGAGAAACTTTTGAGCTTTCAGCCTGGCGAACGAGATCTTGTGATGCTTCAGCATAAGTTCGTTGTGAAATGGAAAGATGGCAAAAAGGTTAGTGATGCTCCGTGCTGGATGAATCGTAAGAAGTGGCGCCATCTCATTCGGTTCTCAACCCATTTCTTGGCTTGAATTGTTTAGGCACGACCAAGCAGAACTCCTGGCACACTCTAGCCCTTCTCTCTGAACTTTGAACTCGATGGGTCTTCGAGATTAGGCCCTTCACCATTCCCCTTTTCTTCCTGGGCAGACCGCTTGGTATAGTTCTCCGCAAATACACAATAGCTAACGATATCTTGCAGGACACTTTCACCTCTACTCTTGAGCTATTGGGAGATCCGAAGGGATACTCGGGCATGTCAAAATCAGTTGGCGTGACTTGTGGCATTGCAACTCAACTGCTGCTGGACGGTCATCCTGCTCTCAACACTCCAGGCGTTCTCGCGCCATATGAGAAGGAGATCTGTGATCCCATCAGAGAATTATTAGAACTTGAAGGGATCGAGATGGTCGAGAAGATCCTGTGAAAGACGACCTTTCGATAGTCATTCACCGGACATCGGGATAGATGGACATCGATTCAGTGATATGCGCGATTCACTCTACGCCTCAGTTGCATAAATCAGCTTGCGATGGAGCCTGGAGCTTTGCTGAAGCCTGAAGTAGAGAGTCTGCTCCGAATCACGCTCTCCAGCGAGGACTTGGCCCTTCTCCAAATTGACACGAGTCTCAATGAAAGACCCCGGCAGCTGACACGGAATGACGAGAAATTGTGACGACAGGGTATACCCCTACAATTGTCGAAGTCAAGCCTCTCTTTCGGGACCAGGTGGATGTTACATCAGCTTCGCACAACACGCTAGAACCTCGAACCCGGTTATCAGATGGTCGTGGAATATAAGGTCGACAGTCACTTGCTCGGTTATGGGCCTGACAATAACTTATAACGTATTCGTAACGTGTGTTCAAAGTGTTAGTAACGGGGTTGCAACTACGCTTATCGTAGTGCTAACGTGATGTTTAGCACCCGAGCACAGCAGATTGTAGGAGAGTGAAATCCGGATCGTCGGACGCGGAAACGTCGACTTCTTGTGTCTCCTTACCGGTGCAGCCCAGACCTCTGCGTCCCAGGCTTCAATGTCCTCGGTTTTGGCATCATGAGAATTTTCCATACGAAATGCCCCAGAGGCAGTCGTGATGTTGTCTGCAGGCGCGGAACTACTTGTAAATGTAGATTGAATGCAGAAGACGGGGCAAGCAAAGCCTTGGTGCCCAAGGGTCGTAGGGACTCGCGCCATCTTGTGGTACCTCAGAGCAAAGAGGCATGGTAGGAGTCTAGACGCAGAACGAAGTGGTTTCATAGTTGAAGACTTTACTTGGGAACCTGGTCGTGATGGTGTCACTTAACATGGCTATCTCGCTTCATGCACCGTGATTCTTCATCTGGAGCAATGCAGCCATGAATGCGTGCGAATATGCTCGAACCCTTTTTCAACGTACGATGTGTACATATCACGCTGATTATCAAATTTTCGCTACGGGATCGAATGGTCCGAATCATACCCGTCCCTCCCAGGTGGATCGAGCTGCCGCGTCTCCGAATCCAGGACCACGAATAAAGCCCCGCCCTTTGAGACAGCCCAAGGCATTACGGATCGAGTGGATAGAGATCTTCCCAAACGGGCAGCGTGGCAGAGGTGGATCTTGAATGATAAGTTTTTCTTTCCTGTCCCATGAGACGAGGCTACAGCATCGGGCGAAGGATATCCATCATGCATCTGCCCATGTAGAGGAGTCTGCGTCAATAGCCTCGCTCTCGATGTCCGTCTCGCGTTGATCGGGGAGCCGGCGTGGATATGTGCGTCACGCGCGAGCCTAGAGTGAATACTCGCCGTTGATCAACCGTGCCCCATGGCTGCACTGCCTTTTTATCATCAATCCATCAATCAAACCAACATATTTACTTACTTACTTACATGCCGAGCTGAGATTTCTTTTTGGGAGCATATGGACTCGAGGATGGGACTGGACTCTACAGGATGGACGAATGAGGCTGACATAGGTGTTTGTGTCCGACAGCTGTCGCTTCCTCGTTTGCACGAATGGGTCGAGGGTGTGTGACGTGGTTCGATGTTGGGGGTGCGTCGCGGCTAGGGACATGTGTTTGTGGATAAGGTATGGTTTCCTGGGTGTACCTCGGATGGAGATTTGTTGTGGCCGTTTCCGGTGGAAGGGGGCTACGGATCGTGGTACTTGGGGATGGTTCAAGTGGGCACGGGGTGCGGGTCGGTGTCTGTAGGTGCGGTCGTAATGCCGGGTGGTATGACATACCTGAACCGGGGGGGAAATTGTGGAGTAGGAAACATGCGTGACAAGCTCCGACTTGGAATGTCGACGCCACAAGGCCGATTGATCGACTCTGTGCCAAATGAAATCGAGAAACCGAACGGTGTTCTTTTCTAATTTTGCCGTAGAGTACGCCCTAGAAGCTGAAGCCGTAATTTCCTTCATGAGACATCAATGACGATACTGCGCGCTGCTTGACTTCCGGCAATGAGTGGCAGATGTTTCCGGGCTCACACCAAAGATTGACGTGCGAACAATGCCGTTTCAACGTGTGAAACTGCCACTTTTTCTGACAGCTTGGCTAGTGAGACCGCGAGTTCACTCTTGTGGCCCACATCCACGCTCCGAACGGGGAGCCAGCTCATAGAATCCTGGAGCCGTCGATGTGGGGCGGCACCACGCACTGCGGACTCAACAAATTAGTTTCGATCTTTTGTTTTCACACCTCTGGCAGGAATGTTTTAGACTGACTGTGGCTCACGCTCGCCTGAGTCTTCGCAGCGCCGGATACATCTCCAGCCTTGAGTGTCCACGTATTTCTCTTCAAAATAGTCGCAGTCTGGCTTCCATCGCAGGTTCAGGATGATGGTCGCTTTCAGATCGCCCAAGTTTGAGAGCAAATCATTGGTTTGCTGACCCCACTGGTACTCGAACACGTCGTGGCGGGTAGGGTTGCATGGGATCAGGGTAAAAAACACTGTTTTCAAATTCGGTAGGTTGGTGGATAGATATGTGCCGAAAGTCGTCGATGGGCTAGGGTCAAACGAAGCGTGGCTGTCCACAAACTCAATTGCAATGTGCCTGACATGTTGTCTGTGGATCGGCTCCACGTGTGCGCAGAAAGTCTTCAAGGCTGTGACGTCGACGGAGAAATCGAAGGATAGTTGGGATTCGATGTATCGCAAGACTTCGGACCGAAAAAGATGATTGACGTAGCTGAGAGCGAGAAAGTTGCTGCCTAGCGGTCGTAGGGGTTGAAGTGACAACTCGTGCTCATTTTGAGAAGCCAAGCGCGAGATCTCGTGGAATAATGAATGGACTGAATTATCTAGCATGATGATTTCTGGCCTGATCCGTGGCTTTCGTCGGGCTTGGATCTTTTGATTGTTCTGCGTCCGCCTCCGTTGAGAAAGGGCAAAAGCAGCATTTTGTATCTCGTCATTCCGTCTGGCAAAGACGAACGTCGCATTCTGGATTTGCCCCAGTATTTGGTTAATCTTGGCTGTATCTTCTGTGTCTGCTTCCTGAAGTTCAGCAGCAGCACGAACTATCTGTCGCGTGAGACGGTCGGAGGCTTCAGGCATTCGACTGCCGATCCTCCGCAGTTGCTGTATGTGGCTTGAGACATGTTTTCCGGTTCGCAACTGGCCGGTATATTCGTAGATGGCCCTTCCAATCATCTGGTCGGTATTCGCTCTATGGGTCCCGTTGAGTCTATGTTGATAGCTGGCAGTCCATCGCAAAGCTAGCCGGCAATTGTTCAGCGCCTGAATGTAAAAAATAGGGATCTGTGTCACCTTTGTGGAAGGCCTCTTCTACAGGATCAGGCCATTTGCCTCGGATACTGCTTCTGCGGCGATAGCGCTCGTAATGAGGATCTTGGAGCAGCATTGCATATGAAGGGAGCCCCATATCGCCTGCCCAATCCCCTCTCTCTGTAGCTCGCAGCACGATGAGTCCTTCATCTCTCGTCGAGAAAACGTAAGAGTAGATTCGGAGGCGTAGCTCTGGAGGTAGAACACTAAGCATATTGACTTTTGGAAGAGCGACGGTATTCTCTTACACTGCGGCGCTCTTCTTACGATGATATAAGTACAGACGTGGAGGTCACATGCTAAATTATGCCGAGACAAGTTGAAACAAAACAGCCAATGAGGTGGTGTGAAGCTAGGCCTCTGCGAACCCTTGCATTACCTATCAAAGCACTGTGAGACGTCAAGGGGCAGGAGCACTGAGCAGCTGATCCATAGCTCATCCTTACATGAAGTCGCTAATTTCGAGACAGACTAGCCGATCTGGTTCTTTGGTGGACCTAGTGTGGACCACTTCTACCAAGAAACAAGTCAAAATAGGATTCGAACGGAGAGGCCTGCCTCTGCTGCAATCTCTTCTTCGTGCATTGAAGAAGTTTAATAGCTTGAAGAACGTGGTAGTGAATATTGCACCAGGATCAAATCTATGGGAAGCAGTGCAGGTGGACATCTTCTTTGGAAGGATCTGAGTCATGTCCGCAGTTGGGGTTGCAGGAATGTTTGATGAGTCTTAACTGCATCGGAAGCAAGCATTTAGCATTGACGATTCCTGACATGCGGCGGCAATGTCAATACAGTCCGTCAGCTTGTCAAGGCTTCCAGACAAAGCTGAGTAATGATCGCAAGTCTTTTTGAACAGGCATTGGTAGAAGCGTGGATTCTGTTATTGCCCTTTCAGACAAGTATACACTGCGCTCATCCTCCTTGATAGCCCTATTCCATTTGATTCCGGCAGTTCCAGTTCCAGCACTGCTCCTGCATGGTGTCAAGGTTGAGATCCAGCTGGGAGCAGCGATTGCGAGAGAGAGACGGCCTCGACGGCCCCCAATCCTGCCAAACTCGTAGGGCTGCGCTAAGAATGGACGTGGTTGGCGACGGTGGTACTCATTACCACCATGAACGATTGGCTACTAAAAGAATTGCATTGCCATGCGTTTGACAGCACTGGACGAGCATAGTAAGAGGATCCTTGTCAAATTGCGTAACAGTGCTGTCCAGAGAGGATTAGTGACCCGAGATTTCAATCTCTTCCTACCAGTTGCTGTCAACTTGATGTCTCCTCCCCGTTGTCATGATGTTAATGATCCATAAAATCCACATACGCTGTGCGTATGCTGACGGGAAGCAACGAGAATGGCAGATGGAGGTTCAGAACGGGATTGGATTGGCTTTGGTTGAATTGGTGATGACGTCGTCTCTCGACACGCCATTTGCTCAACCTTCCTCTTCCAATTCCTCAAATTTCTAGACATCGATTTCTCCTGCAATACCACAAACCCAACCAACGAAACAAACCCTAACAATGCCTCACTCCAAGACACCCGGCGGCTCAGGCGCCAGCGAGAAGTTCCTGAAGCAACAAGCTGAGAGTGACTGCTCCCTCTCTTCTTTTTTCTTCTCTTCTCTTCATCCATCCGCATCCTTCTTGCTAACCCGCCTACAGAACAAGGCGAAGGTGCATCCAATGCGGGCGGCCATACCGAGGGCAAGGCACCGGGAGAAGCACCCGTACGTCTACATTCCGGACTGGTTTCCTTCCCCGTCAGTCCCGTGTGCTGACTCCGAACTCGTGCAGGTAGCTTCTGACTCTGGCATCTCGGATGTGGGAATTGAAAAAGGGACGAACCAGCCTGGAGAGAAGGGGATTCTTGGGCCTAAGATGGATCCTGTGCCTGATAGCTCGAAAGATACGAGGGGGGTTTGAGAAATTGGATGGCTCAGTGGTGGAGGACTATAACAGAGGTGGACGGCAAAGGTACGGAGAAAAACACGCATTTGATGTAGCCGTCATTGTTCTGCGAGGAATGCCGAGACGAGCTTCTAGCCAGCTGCTGTGCGTTTGAAACGCTATTCAAGACATATCGTTGTGCTATCAAGGTGCTCCCCAGACACTTCCGCGGAAAGGCTCTATGTGGGAACATGCTTTCCTTCATCCATTCTCTTACTGCCGGACATTTTCGCAAGTGAGCTGTGTATGGAAATGCTAAACCATCTGCTAGCAACCCTCTCATCCTTGCGGCAGTTGACGAATTCCCTTTATCCTAAATTCAGACACGGTCAAGAGGTTTGATTCCATTCGGCATGGAAGCATGTTCATCTGATCCTTCGTGTTCCGTAACTTCCAAGACGCTTGATTTACTGTAGATATTGCCCCTTCAAGCTGCCAAATCATTTGAAAGACCAGCTGGGGGTAAATTCGAAATCGAAACCTGAATATATGCCATCAAGGAGCTAATATCCCTAAAAAAAAATGTGTCACTCGAGGCTGCGGTTGGGGAAGAGTAAGCGCATCCCTCTGCGTATCATCCAGATCAAGAGTCACTGGGCCATCCAGCAGATCTTTCAAACTAGCTCAATCGTGGTCATCTCGAACGTCTTGTTGCCGTAATGGCAATCCGACAGAAGATCTCATGAACGATGCGACGTGCACATGACCGTCCGAGGCACGCAGAAGCACCAAGTGCCCTTTTTCCGGGATCTCGCCTCGGCAGGTGATGATATATTTGGTTGTATCAACTGCGTCGAGCAACCGAATTCTGTGACGATCAGCTGGGTTGGCCAGAGGGACGGGCGCATTTTGCTCAAGCCAATCAAATATGCCTGGAGCACGTGGTCAATGACTGTGAGCCTTGCAAATCTCGGCTGCGTCTCGATACTGGACGTAAAGACGTACGCCTCGCTATGGACTTTTGACAGACCAAAACTTGAGCTCTTCGAGCGCATGTTCATTGATTTTTTCGTGGTCGAGGTATCGGATCCCGGCGGAGGCGAAGAGCTCATCTAGGCTGACTAAAGAGCATCCTTGCAGGACAGTGGCGAGAGATTCGAAGTCATTCCCACCCGATAACTTGACAGGTGAGAACTCGTAGAAACTGGCGGTGTCTTCAAGGTTAAAAATGTTGTTGACTGTTTTTACCCACTCAGGCTGGGTGAAATTTTGCCTCGCGGTGTCAAAGTTTATCAGTAGGTCTAGGGAACTTGATCGCTCTAAAGCGATCTCTGGTATTCATTTGGACCAACCGACCAACAAGTAGTTTCATCTCTGGCGAACTTTCCAAGACAGGCCGGATCTTGGTCCGAATCGCGTCCGTCAACCCTTCCGCCAAAGAGAATTGTTCCACGAAGTATTGGAACGTTGCGAAGCGAAATAACTTTAAGCGATCCATCGTCTGCTGTAGGATCTTGGTGCAGAAAATTCAAAGGGCACGATTCAGAAGGGATTGGAACAAGCTTTGTCACACGTGTGAAGCTCAAGAAGCAAGAGACGACGGTGAAAAGCAAGATTGTGTGTACTTTCAACAGTAAAGGATGTAGAATTAGTAGATGCCTCAAAAGCGAAGCACTGACTGCAGAACAGAGGGGACAGCTGTGTTCGACCACGACTTGGTCGGAGAGAAACACCACAAAGGTGCGATAGAAAGCAAGCACTTCTGGGCCAAGGTCTTACGACCTACTCGAAATGTTGATTGGCTGAGAGGCGCAAGGGTTTGCGAATAACGGAATGGTTGAAAATGCGAAGAGCTCGGGCAAATCACCGAACGTCTAACAAGCCTTTGTCGGCTGCGTCCATCTTCCAAAGCAGTCATTGCCAGCTACTACTCATGAATAATTCTTCCGACCCGAGATGAAGTGTTCAGTATGAGCCAACGAATCATTGACATTGAGGTGTGTTGACGGAAAAGGAGAGGACCTTATCATCGCGCTGAACTTTGCTGCCCAGTAGATGCTCCGGGAGATGATGTCAGTAGATCCCAGAGGTTGGCCTAAACCCTGGCCAGCACACCCTTCCAAGGTCTCAGACGAGGACCTTCTCCGGATATGGGCTCTCTCACAATAGTGTTGGTGGAATTGATCAGGATGTCTGGGATGTAAGAAGCAAATTGAACAGGGTCTTTCGATGATATATGTTAGTCTTATATATTCTAGAAGGAATCAACGCCCCGCACTTCTTCCTGTTATTTCTGTACCTTTTACTACAATGCCCTTTCCTAACCTGTTTTGGTTTCTCATGACCCGTGACAGCAATCAGATGTTGCTGTAGTCTCTCCAATTGCACATGAGCATCGTACACACGTCAACACCAACATTGGGGTTGTCATTGATCTTGGAGCCTGTCTCTTACTGTCAGGATCCAGGGGACATCGAACTTCAAGTGACTGGAAGTATAAATACTGTTTGAGTTCGAGCTACCTATGGAGGAAGATGGGTACTCCTTTCCAGCTCTTTCGTAGATCAGGTCACTGTTCCATTATCTTTTTCAGAGTCTCGTGCCAGCACCTTTGCCTCTCTCTCTCCGAGCCCTTTTGGCGCTCAGTGGCTTCCTAGGAGTTGCCTTCTTCTTGTCCAAAACGGCATGCCACAACTTGAGTTTTCGCTTTATCTGTCTCATTTGTTCCTCTCGTTTGGCTTTCTCTTCCCATTGCCTGTTTTCCTCTTCTGCGGACCTCATATCAACCCTAAATTTTTCCACCACCCAGCGGTCTATGTACGTGGACTGTGCAACTTCACACTCTCGGAACGCCTTTTCTGATAAGTACCGGGAGTGTGTGTGCTCAGATTTTGGTTTTAACCCGCGCTTGCTGAGCCTCTCTGCATCCCACATACCCCATCCCCACTGCTCTATCGCTGATCGATCGAGGTCAGACCTCAACTCAGCCACAAGAAGATGATCGACCGGGTTCTCTTTATCTTCTCGCCAGTGATCAACGTCCTTAATGAGCCGCTGCACCAATGCTGGTTGCCAACTCAAAAGAGACGATTTTCCTTGACGTCGGTATTGAAAAGCGTTGATAAGTGACGACAAATGGAAGCGCACTGCCTCAATGTCTTCGACTGGCCAAGAGGGCTTACTGTGCATGCAATAATGCACGGTGCGCGAAAGGTTTTTCCCTGTATGCCCGTAGAGCCAGCCAGTGTTTGGAAAGCATGGCTGTCCAACCTGATGCGCTCGATAATGTACAAATCGTTTCGTACGCTGCGATTGTGCATCATCCTCGGCTCTGGACGTCATATATTCTTCTCCATGGACGAGTTCGTAGCATAGTTGGAAATACCAGAATGCTCGACGAATGCGGTAGAGCTCTGTCGAAGAAGGTGGTCTTTCTGGTTGCTCGCTTGGTTTGACGATACGAGTCTGAGCGAAGTCTTGAACTAAAACATCGATATCGTGTGATATGCTCCAAATGTCGCGAATGGTGGCAATCGGGTCAGAGAACCACTGCAGATAATGGGGCTTTCCGTCACGTTCTCTATCGTCAGAACGAAGATACTTATAAACAAAATTCTTCCTCTCTCCTGCTCCTTCCCCTAATAGAATCTGTTTTGTTGTGCTGTCGTTCCGAAGCGTCATAACAGCAGTGACAATCCTGGAAAGCTCATGCTCCCTGCCTGCTCTGATAACATTCGCAAATATATCTTTCTGAAAGTCCTCGACAAAGCTGACTCCTCTGTTGTGAGCTGCGAGAAGCGTTAATAGGCCGTTAAGTGAAGCGAAGTCAGGAATGTATTTTGTGATTTCGAGGAGGAGTTCTGTGGGAAGAGTCTGCAGACTGCGGCATCCCGGAGTTTTGGTTGGGGCAGGCATTTTCGAGCCAGAGCAACCCAATAACAGACTCATAGAAATAGGTAAAGAAAGGCTGGATGATAAGTTCGTGGACGTATTTATAAAGTCATAGCCAAGAATTGCAATTTCGCGCGATGAAACGATTCATCTTTTACTGCAGGTCGAGTGGTAATTTGCTCACTTGCAATTCGCGTGGGTTTGAGGCGTCAGCAAAAGGGAAAATTTTCTTCTTTCTTGGCCACCAAAAGTTCTATAGCCCAAAGGGGAAATCTGTGACAGGCCTACGTATGTATTCGAGTATGCAGTCCAGTCACATAGCCCTAGCCCTAATAGTCTACTCGTATTTACCAAACTCCATTCAACAACAGCAAATGGAGTCCAAGCAAAAGGTCCAGTGAGCTGCATTGGTACTATTGACCGAGACGCCCGAGCCCTTGCCTCCCCGTCGAGTGACTCGTCTTCCCCAGTAAGGGAAACGTGGCCGAAAGTAGAGATGTAGATAAAAGCAAGACTCGCGGCAATCCAAACTGCTCGGTGGATCTCAACTGTTATGAACGACGAGCGAGAGCGTTGCATGTTATCAAATGATTCAGGGCGAGTCTGATCAGCAGTCGTGTAACAATCCCTTCTGCATTCTACCGTCACTCTATGAACATCGAACGGCTCAGCCGCTGTATATGCAATCCAACTCCGTGGGCATCCACTGTCGTTCCTTGGATCCCAATTCCCGAACCCTATCCCACCTCAGCCTGTCCAAATGTATTTGCGCATCAATAGCGTACTGTGCCGCGATCTTTTGGTCAAGAGGGGTATATTGAGCGGCGATACACTCACTGTGAGCCTCACCGATAGCGGCTCTCCGTTCACAAATCTTCGCGATCTTGCTTTCATCGTCCATCTTCCAACCGTCGACCCAACCCTCATATTCAATATCGATCATGCCCCGCTTCACAAGCCGTTTCTCATCCCACAGGCACCAGCCCCATTGCGGATGGCCTACCTGCAAAGACTGTATGACAGATCTGCGAGGTGTATTGGGAATACTGGCATCATAACAATGGCGAATTCTATGCCAGACAATAGGATGGGATCTAGCGTGCTGGCTTTGCCTGAAAGCTGCGACCAAGACATGGTCCTCCGGGCTTCCTGTATCCCAGTGATCGATGTCGCGGATTAGGCGTTGGAGGAGCGCGGGTTCTCCGATCAGTTCATCGTTTGAACCACACGACCGAAGGTATTGGAGGCGGTTGACTTTGAGTGCGAGATGGAAACGAACGGCCTCAAGCTCATCGTGTTCCCAGCGACTGAGATTGGGAAGGAAACGGCTTAAGGCTTCTGGACGGTATGCTTCGCTGCGACCTTGAAGCCAGTTTGGCACGCTGCCGCTGATAGGCTGTTTGCTCTGACATTGGACATATTGCCTAGTGCCTCTGGATTTGACTTCACAAATCTCCCGAGAGGAACTTACTTCTTCTGGATGACACATATCGTAGCAAAGCTGAAAACGCCAAAAAGAGCGTCGGATCCGGTGGAGCTCTATCGGTGAGAGTGGCATACTATGCCTAATACAGGGACCTAGGACACGGTCACTGGCGAAGGATTCCGTGAGACTCTCGATGCTCTCTGATATTGTGATGAGGTCCAAAATCGCAGAGAGCGGATACCGGCGTAAGCGGGGTTGAGTATAACACACTTTGGCGTCGAGATGATGTTTGATGAAATCGGTGATTTGGCTTGGGTGAATTGGCGGGTGACTTCGAACGGCCAGCACGTCCAGGGCCGAGTCTCGAAGCTCAGCTGACATGTTGTCCACAATGCCGGCAAATATTTCTTTGCTGATCAGGTTGAAAACAATGAACGTCCTTGGGTAGGCGGTAAAGAGCCTCGAAAGTGCAGCCATATCAGGTAAGTACTTCATTACTGCAAAAAGCAGCTCGGCAGGGAGTTCGTGCAGACCGCAACCAGTGACGCCTCTGGGGCATGCTGTCGATTTTTGATCTTCAGGGGCTTCCTCAATTCCAAGCATCTTATTGAATCCAGGCGCTAGAACCGCCGATGTGAAAGATTTCTGATCGTGTTATAAGCGTAGAGTGAATGTTGAGAGTGCTATAGAGTCAACTGCAATTGCACGCTTCAATTGGGAGATCAAGGCCTCAATATTAAATGGTCGCGAGCCAAGGACGGTACCTCGAAGCTGTGACTCAAATTGCATTATATTTATTTTTTCTGCACGTGATATTGCAATATAATTCAATAGAACCATTCCCAATAGTCACGGTAGGGACTTTCCAACGCTATTGGAGGCCTAGTACAAATCATGAAACAAGAAAGAGACATCGTGAACTCACCAAAAAGGGTCTCGTCAATTTTTCTAAATACGGACTCTGGGCGCTACAACCGTGGAAAAGGCCTTCGGCGAGAGCATGACTGTTATGCTGAAGAAGAACACTTCGTGTTCCATTCCGAGCATTGACTTCTTTCTATTGTACACAAGTTGGCAGTTGCAGTTCCGGAAGCAATCGCCTAGTAATGTCGACATGGTCAGCAGAGTCCTCGTACTTTGGAGATTTAAAATTCCTGGAATAGACATGAGGTACCTTATCTACCCTTCCTGACCCACCCCTCCACCGCTTCCCTGCTCTCTCCCACCCTCTCATCGAACCATTTCTTGGTCGCTTCCTCTCTAATCTTCGCTTGCCTCCAGCCCTCTTCTATCGCCCCCCTAATCCTCATATGGTTTATAGAGATCACCGGCGCCTTCTCCTCATACGTCCACACCAGTTCCCCTACATTTCTCGTCGTAACAGGCAGCACAATCCACGCAGCTCCTAAGCCCACCGCGAACGGCACTGTCGCCCGCAGCAGTATATTTCGGTTTCGAGATATTATTGAGCCTGTCATTGCCGCTACAAGAACATAGAGCGCGCCTGGCATGACACGTTCATGGGTTTCGGGAGGAGGAGCCAAGGAAGCAATTGTCTGGGTGAAAGAATGTTCTTGGTGGAGGACAGTGGACATGAAGTTGTTGAGGCGATCTTCCGTTCTGACGGTATGGGCGTGTATAAAGAGGCGGGCATGTTTTATCTGGCCTGCTAGACGGTCTGTTGGCGTCGGAGATGAAGGGAGGGAATCTTCCTTGGGTGCTGGGGATGATTTGGGAGGGTCAAGCAGAGCGAGATCATCGTAGATGGGTTTCCGGGGAAGCTACATTGAACGGTTAGCACAATGAAGCAACGATACGATTCAATGCCTTGCAAGTTCTTGAGGAGGCGCCTCAGCGTGAAGTGTAGAATATGGATAAAGAAGCAGGCCGGCGGTGAGAGCAGCGATTGCCGAGGGGGGAATAGGACGCTAGACATATCAGCTCATATCAAGGGTTGCCAATTGATGTAGGAGGGCTTACCTGTCGTAGTAGAGGTCTGAATGTCATATTGTTGTCTTAGAAAAACACCAAATTCTGGAGGAAGAGCGTGATCCAGATGCAAAAGACGAGAGGCGCTAGGCTGTTTCCACTAATGCCAAACTTAGTCTAGACTAGCGGAATTCGAGACTCTGAATTCACAACACCACTCATCACCCTAAAGTGCTTACAATTTATTTCAAGATACAGACTCTCCGCTAAGGTAGTTAACAGATGCACGCCAACTGCAAGTATATCAGGAAAAGTAGCTTCAACTATCCGACCAGTAATGGATGTCTTCGCTAAGATTTCCGAGAGTCCGAGGCCAGCATCGAGCCGTTGCTAGTCAATAACGATATGATATGATTGTCCCATGATTCGTCAAATTCTACGTATCTTACAAAACAAGTCCGACGACCAACGACGACGTCCTCCCATGCCATGACCAACGTGTCAGAAGCCAACTCTTATCTCGACTCTGCTCATCCGTGAGATCACCCTGAAACAAGGAAACAAAGTCGCTCCATCTCCATCACTCGTCATAGCGTCATCCCAGACCCTACCTGTCACCCCTTTCCCACCCCTTCTGGTGCCTTGCGCGGATGGAAAACCAGCTGTGGGCCATGTTCGTATCGTCGTCGATGTCCCTTTCCCAAATTCCACTCCAACTTTTTGCGAATAGAGTCATGACGGAATTAGAACTTAAAGTCGGACGAATGAACCGGAATATTATCGCGCTGTCCAGTCCAGATCGCACCCACGGTGCCCGGCAAGATTTTTACGGGGCCATTGGTCGAGGAGACCGGGTCACGCCCGTCGATTCTGACCCCCACGACTGCCTTTCCGAATTCCCAAAGCAACCGTAGAGACCTACATTTGCGGCTCATAGAAATGCGAATAGTGTAGAGATACACTTCGAAGGAGACGCTATGATTAATCGCGAACGATTCCGGGCCCGTAGGCCTGGAGGAGCTAGACATCCGGCATCTCTTGAGCGTAAAGGGAAGCTTTCCAATGTCACTAACGTTGGCGCAAACGCCGAGATTGCGAATAGTGTCCACTACGCGCTGGCTGGGCAGGGAATGGTTGATTCTGCTGGAGGATCCGAAGCTCATGTGATAGATTCCCTTTTCCGCCATCAGGCCATTGCCCTCATCGTGCAGGGCCTGGGAAGCCCTTAGGAACTGAGGATGGCCAGCAGAGAGGAGGTCCGAGTAGATTGTGTTGCGGATTTCTCCCCGCAGCTTGAGGGGAGCGGTCTGAGTCCTCCTCGCATATCGATCGAGGTCGGCTCCGCAATGGATGGGGTTGGCCGTGGCTTGAACAATTCGACTTTTTCTATAATGATTCTAGGTCCGAAAAGTTTGGGAGCACCATCATAGCGGAGAGACTCGATGATACCGGCAAGCCAGCGCGTGTCCTCTTTGTAGATTTCGATAGTTGTAGAAATCCGGGACGGGTATGCGTCCTTGCTGGCTGTATCTTGTTGCGATCCGAGACGTTTGAAAGAAGTGACTGTTTTTCTAAAAAGATTTCAACATGTTGTGCTTTATTCGAAATGAACGATGATTGAAGGACGCTTCAAGCGAAGACCCTTGGCTATCTCGTAGAAATGCCATCTGTGGCTGCTGTGACGCAAGGAAAAGTATTGAACATCATTGCGGACTCAGCCAGACGAAGAGAACAGCCTTAAATTTCATGGCGTAGTCTGCTAGACGATTTATATCTCCCCTGAGAATCAGCCATTGGTGCAACCACGGTTTCTAACGGTTTTGCTTGGTTTAGAACAACAGATAAAGAGAAAGGGGTTGGTGAGTATTGGGACAAGGACTAGACGACGCACTCCGCGATGATGGTGACGGCCTAGAACACCTTCACGGGTCTGCGTTGATGAGGCTTGGAGATGGGGATAGGGATGAGATTGGACGATGTGGGCAACATGGTCGAGGAATCTTTTTCAGTGGACGCGTCTTATGAAAGGTCGAACCCGTAGTTGTTTTAAGAGGAGTCTCCGCCTCTACATGCCTTGACTGAGACGTACTCTGTACGGATTGGAAACTAGACGTGACCACGTTAGGCACATGTCAGGCTGCTCCAACCCTCATATCAGCCATTTTTAGAGCCATGATCCATAGCCTAGGGGCAAGCTTGTTTTACAGAGCTCTTTAGATTGAGAGATCTGGCGGAAACTGTTGTACGATCAATGTATCAATAAAGAGGATCTTTCCCAGCCTCTGTCGCTAAAAGACTGCTGCAAATGTCATTCTCATGTATATCGTTTCCCTTGAAAATCTCCACACATGCCGCGATTTTCAACTCCCGCAAACGCTTCGCCGATGGGTTTTGAATCGCTCTAGGGCCAGACCCTGCCTACCCATAACGCCAGATTGAAGAAGCCACCGAGTGGTTATACCGTAATGCACAGGAGTTCGCAGAAGAGATCATCACGCTTTTAGAACCATCTCTGCTCCTGGCGCCAAATTTGCAACATTCACGTTGCTTCCCAACTCTTGCCTTAGCATTTTTCTAACCTCCTCCTTCGTGTATTTTCTTGTCTTCACTGACATCACAGAAAGCCCAGTGTTATCCTTGTCCTCATCGTGTGCGCTGATCCAACATCTGGCCATCAGGTTTTGCGCTATCTCGATCCCACCGGGTGAGCCCGCTGCGACATTACCGCCGAGATACCAAGGATTTTCGACGCGGTCGAAAGAGTGCAGCAGAAGTGTCAGAGGAAGAGCAGCGATGGACACCAGATGCGTAGAGGCATAGGCACGAATGAGGGAGTAATTGACGCCATGGGGAGAGTAAATAAAAGATAATGCTTTTTCGGCATGGATGCGGGAGGTGGATGTGACAGAGCTTCTGGAGGATACGGAGAGGTTGTGGTTGGAGTTGCTTTGATGGGATGATGGGGTGGAGGCAGAGGAGAGGGTGTTACTGTCGGTACGCAGAGTGCTGCTTTGCCATGTAGGTGATTCAGGAGGGGTCATTGGCAGGTTCTGCGGCGCTGGAGGATATTGAGATTGGTGGAAAGGTGGCTGAGAATTTGGCGAGATTGGAGAGAAAGGACGCGATGGTATGCAGCTGGATGATGGTGGTCGATAGGTGACTCCAATGGCGTTATGTACTTTGGCCATATCCAATTTGGCCGGTATGAACGAAATGGTCGCTTCACCCGGTGTCCCTCCCGGAATAATTGGCGGAATGTAAAACCTAATGACTGAATCGGGCTTTCGTTCGGAGAAAGGGCGCAACGAATGGACCATGTCAGGGTGGAAGAACTTCATCCCTCTAATTTTCTTGGCTGCTGTTGGCTCGGCCAAGATGGTAGTGATGGGTGATGTGGGATCCAGTTGTCGCAGTGTAGCTTCATGACAATGATCAGGCTTATCTTGTGAGATGAGGACCACGTTTGGCTCTGGTATATGTGAGAGGTGCGGAATGCACGATGGCGTGGTGTGTTTTGAAAGGAGGAATTTGGGATGCCACATTGTTGTGGGACCTGAGAGCCATGGATCAACGAGTATGGAGAAAGTGCCTGGAGGCTGCTGAAATTGAGATCCTAGAGGAGTCTGTGGATAATTATCATTCGGAGAGAAAGTGAGGAGAAAGGTGGTGTCTCCGTTGAGATGCTTGACAGTCAAAGACATGATGTAGGATGGGTGATCGGAATGCGCTCCAGGGCGTGGCTTCGTCTTTTGCAAGTTGATGTCACATCACCATCAGTATGTCAAGAGTAGCCTGGTCGCATACCTGTCAAGAATTGAAAATACTCAATATTGGCGAGGAAGAAGGCATGATGATTGAAATGATGAAGGGGTTAATTGGCTCGTCGCTCGATAATAGGAGATGGAATGGTGGACTTGAGGAGACGATGCGGAAGGAAAGTGAAATCGAACGGCTTGCATCAAGCTTTCCAGCCCATGGGGAATATTGCTACTAGTAACCAATCATCTTGGAGAAACGCCGCAGCGCCAAGATCAAAGTCCGCTAAGACTTGCCCTGGTACCGGTGTCTCCATCGCCAAGGCAAGATTCCATGACAGTCGAGCCGAGCTTTTGCGGGTAGACCGGAAGCCTCATCGAAGCATCTCACCCAAGCCACCGGAGTCAGGTCCTCAGCGTATAAATTATTTTATACAACTATTATCAAGTAGGTACCTTTCTTTCGCAGCACACGCAAAAGTCATCATGCAGACCAGCCTACCAAGTGAAGGCGAGAACTCATCAGATCTCTTCAGGCCCTCTAAGCGGAGGAAGTTCTACCGCAAGCGCACTGATGGAGAAGACGAAGGATCACCCACTCACTCATCCGCACCTCCTCCAGAGTCGATGACCGTCGACGAACTCATCTCTCACCAAGGCCGCCTTACCGAGACTCAGCACCACAAGACAGACGAGGAGCCCTTGTCAATCGCAGCAATCCTCCGCCAAAGAAAGCTTGCTTTGCCGCGAAAAGGCGGCATCGAATTCACCAACAGCCATACGTCTACTTCAAGCACCTCGCAGACCAGTGATGCTCTCATAGTGAAGGAGGACGACACCCCGGCAGACATCAAATCAGTTATCGAGCGCTTTGCCCCTCAAACAGGCCAGGTCTCAGACGTAGCCGATAAGCATATGTACGCCTTTCCCCCACCTACCCTTGATTGAAACCTAGATGCAGCGACTAACGTGATAAGGATGGCATACATAGATTCCGAATTGGCTAAACGTCAACGTCAAAATCAATCTACCTCTACGCAATCTCTAAACGGGCAAGAGCTGTCACCCAACGGAGCTCTGCTTGACGCAGGGCTACACCGCCAGCCCGCAGCTCTGGGAAAGCTCCACGAAATCGACCTTGGCCCAGACGCCAAACTCCGAAATATCGCCTTGACCGAAGCTGCTCAGCGCAGGCTCGAGGGCATAGAGCCGGAAATAGAGGAGTCTACGGGCAAAGTTCGCTTACGAAGAGATGGTAAGCCGTGGCGGCCTCGCAAGCGGCGAAACAGTGAGGATGTCAAACGAGATAAGCTCGTTGAAGAAGTTATGCGCGAATCTAGGCTTGACATCTACGATGAGCCGGATGAAGAAGTGAACAATGACGATCAAGCGGCCGATGATCGTATCGCCGAGCAATTCAGGCGGGAATTCATGGATGCTATCTCAAGCCGCCAGCAGAAGGCGGCACAGGCAAAGAAACCTGTAAAGGGAAAGGAGGTGGACGACCAACCCAGAGGGCCTAAGCTGGGAGGAAGTAGGAGTGCTAGGGCGGCGATGAGGGAGAGGGAGGAGGCTGCGAAGAAGAAGAAGTAGGATCGATTCTAGATTGGAAGATGCCAGCGATGCTCTGATAGACGGGCTCGTCAGCCTACGTATTCAAGTTTCCAGGATGGTCTCTGTCCACCCAAGTCATCAGCCTCGTAAGAACCAATGACGGATCTGCTTCCTAAGAATGCACTGGCACAGCACCCATTGCGTCTTCCTGTAACCTCTCCCTCTACCTTACCTTGCGACCTGGGCTTGCGACCTAGGCCCTCACCCTCACCTACGCCGTTCAAATCTACGATGAAAGACGGGGGCGTATTTACCTTTTCTCTATTCGTGGTCACTCACTTCGCGCGATGGAACAGTATCACGATGGCCCAGCGGCAAGCCATGCCGAGTATCAGATTGCGAAACCATTCGAAATGCTTGCTACCCTCTTCTAAAAGACATCAGCGTCGACAAACGTTGTGCATCACCATTAGCTTCTCAAGCCCGCTCGCAGCTTCTTTCTATCCGGACCCTCTCACGCAGCCACCACGAAATTTTCAGCGTCTCAACAGTCTCTAGCATCCAACCTGGCCGCCTCCTCAAGCATCTTCCCGGCCTTGAACTTCAGATCCTTCGCCAAATGCTGGCGCGGGTAGAAGTCGAGGTAGCATGTGTAGTAACAAGCACCGTGCACAACGTCCTGCACCGCAGGCCCGTATACGGTTTCGAAGAAATCCTTCAGACTGGAAACCTTGCTCTCACGCTGGGGCTGGGACTGGGAGACCCGGAGAAGTAGTGTTCTGGAGTTGTTTCGAGAGCGAGAAACGGCTGGCTGACGAGGTTGCGGTAGATTTTCAGTCGAAGTTCGGCAGGGAAAGGCACTACGCTCCGGTCGGACTGACTGTCACTCGTCGTGGATGGGATTTGGGTTTGCTTGAGTAGACCGAAAGAGGGGAATTTGGACACAGACGATACCAGGACTCAATTCGTTAGTAAGGAAGTAGAGCAGGCCTATGCATATTTTATTCACTGCGTCACGAAGGCACTGCCAAGATCTACCTTAGGAACGAGGCTGTTAAAGCTTTTTGCAGCTGGTTATTTCTGGGATTTTTCTCCCCTTTATCCACTTCCCTTTTATATTCCCCCTTTATTTTCTAACTTATTATTTATATTCTTTTTTTACTATCTATTATATTTATATTATACTTATATTATATATAACATTTATATTATACTCTATTTATTATTATTTTTCTTTATCTTCTTCCCTTCTTTTATTTTTTATATAAACTTTTTAATCTTTCTATTTATATTTTCTTTATATTTTAAATTTATTATTAATTTATTATATATTATTATTATCTATTTTTTTTCTTATATTTATATTTTAATAATTACATATATATATACTTTCATAATCCTCTATATCAAATCAATTAATTTTTTTCATAGTAATTTACTATCTAAATTTTTCTAATCTTTTTATTATTTATACTTTTTTTACTTAATTAATTATAAATTTATTCTTTTATTTTTATTATAATATCTTCTTTTTTTTCTTTTTTTTTCCTTTCTTCTTTTTTCTTTTGTTGATGTCTATCAAGTTTGCCGGGAGGGGTAGTGCGAGGTCTAGACAGGTTACTGCTAATGAAGAGAAGAGGTTTTCCAAAGGAGGAAAGAGTGATACTAACGAAGTCCAGTAGCCGGCGCTAGTCTGAATCTGGCAGCATCCTGTAATCAGCGGGGTAATCATTGTTGAGTGTCACTTGGGCCGACACTTCCCCTCGTCTTCATTACTCGGTCCGCGCTTAAAGACTTGACACTGGTACGTTGATTTTCCACGGAGACAGCAGGTCAAACCCCATCATCAGCTTAGTCCCATCAATCTCTCTATCCAAAGCTACTCCCCACCTACAGGATCCGCTTCCACGAAGCGCAGACATGACCACACTGTCGGAGGAAGCGGTTGCAGGTCAAGCCATTGCACTTGCACAACCGTCTCCACAAAACACTGGGCAGTCCTCGAGCATCCCGTTCAATGTTACCGGTCACTCCACAATGGGGTTTCCTCGAAAGCGCACGGTCTGGGAGTGGTGCATGGGAAAGCCAAAGATCCAATCAAACACCCTTATTGAGTCGTATGCTCCACGGACCGAGGCCGAAGTCCGCGAGCAAGAAGAGCACATACGCTCTCAAATTCCGCCTCTGGCTTTGAATAGGTTAGAAAGTCCTATACACAAATACCAACTGGGATTATGGACTGACACGTCGTAGAGTCCCCAGGTGAACGAGGGCCGGATATTTCGAGCAGGCATGGCTTATTGGTCTAATGGTGGGAGGAGATGCAGAAGAAACCGGCAACGAGTATAATGAGTGGTAAAGAGGATGATAATGGCAGCTATTAGAACATCATTGGCTCGTGGGACCACCGTTGGCTTTGAGTGGACTCTTTACGAATTTGGAATCCAACTTCTAAATGGTGGACGGCGGGTGCGTTGGGGTGGACTTGTCAGCCAAAATGATAGCCATCCGTTGAGTGAATGCCTTCAAGACAAACTTGACTTCCTTTCTCTATTCGAGGGCTCTCCATACAACTCTTCGTAGATTCTGCTGCCTGCAGCTTTCCGCAGCCCTGTGAAACCGCTACGAAGATGTCCTCCTTATTGCTCTCGATCATTTCCCCGCCGTACACACTATCGGTCCGTCGCGCGAAGAAACATACAAAGCACATTCCATTCTCATCAAAACACCAAACCTACCCTTTACAACACAAGTCCGTCTTTTCTTACAATCGCGTTGCTCACCATGACTCTGTCAATCGATCGAGTCGTATGTAACGAATCCCTCTTAAAGCAGTGGACCACTCGAGTTCAGTCGATGCTATACCTTATCCCGAAGAAAAGATTTAGACCGCTAGATGTTACTATCATTCAACGAGATTAAGCCTTAAACAGGATGCACTCGTCCGTCGTAAAAGCAGACTCACCCGGCTAAGGGTTCAAGAGCCTCATGGATGTTTCCCACCTTCCATGGCCCTGCATAGCCAGCCGCCAAGTCAAAGGGTTGGGAGGCGCAGCTCGAGAAGGTTTCTGGGACTCAGTCACAGGCCACGATGAGCAATGAACAACGATGCAGCGTCACGACTTCCCTTACGAATCTGCTGTCGTTGGCCTTCTTGCAGTACTCATGACGAGAACAGAGGGATGCTTATTAGGGATAATACAACGAATGCCAAGTGCAGCCGAGGAATTCCATCGACGAAGCATTTCGATGAGAGAATTTGAGCAAGCCAGAAGCCTTAGCCGCATGCGAAATCCCCTACAAAAGGCGCTCCATCTTTGAAAGTTTTGTCCTCATATCTTGCATTCACCCTCCCTTCCTCTTAGGCCAGGCTACACACTGCCACCGTCTCTCACCTCACCCGCCCAAAATGTTATCCTCAACGCGCAGCATCATGGACCAGCACCCGGATCGCGAATCCTTCTACCGCAATCTATCCTTACTCGCCACCGCTGCCTTGGCCGTGCACGTCTCGTGGACATACGACAGCCCCGGCGACTGCGACTCCCTCGCCGGCTGGCTGGCCTCCGCGATGCCCACGATACTGAGCGGGCTGATCCTACTCGGTACCTTCTTCGTGACAGCCGACGATATAGCTTCGATTCAACCCACGCGATTCTTCAGCCTCACCGAAACCTCTCCGCACAGCGGCCCCGAGGGGGAAAGGATCCGGACATCTGGCAACCCTGATCGAGAAGATCGTCATCTTTTTTACGTCCAGGTTGTTGCGTTTGCAGTGGGCCTGGGCGTCTCCATCGATCTGATTGACGGATGGTATCGGCTTTGTCAGGCCGCGTGGGCCGCGTACGCGAAGAGCCAGCCCCACAGTCTTCTGATTTTGGTGACCGTTTTGCTTCTTAACTTGGGCGTTCTTTTACTCATGACTTGGATGCCGATATTCGGTTTGCTGCAGACTAAACAGGATCTCGGCGGCCGGCTGCCTACCGAAGGTTCTGAGGAGAGGGCTAGGCTGAGGACTCTTATTGCGGCGGCGGAGGCTTATGAAGAGGATTTGCGATCGCAGATGGAGCCGTCACATTCGAAGGTGCAAGTCGTTGGCGAATTCCTGGACCGGTTGCGGAAGTGGCAGAGCAGCCGTCATTGACGGGGCCAATGGTAAATTCATAATTATCTCAGGCAGTTAGAAACGGAAGTCCTTATACCATAATGCCATGTACCCTCTAGAGCGCGCCCTATCTCATATGACTACCGAGCGATGTGAATACACCGTAATCGGCCCCGAGGCAAGAAAGAAGCGTATAGTACTACGACATCTCAGGAGATGAGAATATGATACGGGCGCCTCAAGATGCACATTACCCTCCCAACAATGATATCAACACTCCTTGCGATTGCAAGCATAGGCATTGCGAGTATCAACGTAGAAAGAGACTTTTCGATGAGAAGCAGGCTTGAATATGTGACAATGAAAGCAATAGACTGGTATCGGCTTCCGTGAGCCACGCGTACTAGCTTTGAAGAAAAGGACGAGACGCGACTCAGCGACGGATCGATAATCAGACGGAGTGAAAAGGGGTCGAAAACAGCGACAGAAAGCGTCAATTGTAGTCACCTTCCCGAAAGCACTTATTGAGTCACCCGCACTGATCCATTACCCTAATGTACCAGTCCGCGGGGTAATCGTTGTTCACTGACGCTGGCGCTCTTCGCGAGGGAGGTTATGTGAAATTTGTCGGAGATTTGGGATGAGTATTGCAGTCTCGGAGAATGTCGTGAGATTATAGGCACGATAAGAGTGTAGCAGAGCTACAGCATCTGAGGAGGGTTTGAAATTGAATTAAAACCGCTGGATGACGATTAGGTTTGCAGTTAAGGTGGCGGATAATGATGACGATTATTCTCCCAGAATGTTGGTCGAGGATGGCAATGCGAGCGATGGACAGCGCACGAAGACGGAGGGGTTAATGGAAACAAGAGAGCTGCCGCCACTTGACCTTCATGAGAACAGATTCGATGCTATTTTCGTAACCTGATCGATTCCTGAGTAGTTGGATTGCTGTACTCTCTGCACCCACCTGACCATGAACATGGAAATGACGCAAGCCTCCCACCATCTCACTCCACAAGCCCCGCTCCTATAGTCTCGCCGCCGGCTCTCAAAATGACTCTCCCTCCCTGCTCCAACGGAATGGGATCATCTACCTCAACATGCACCCTCGCTACACTTCCTGGCTTAATCAATCTAGGCTTCTTCCCCTTGACAGCAGCACCAGACGCCTTATCCAGCTGGGCCACCAGTTTTGTGACCCTCCCTGGCGCATGCAACCTTCCTTTGTGAACTTCGCAATGCATTGGTGTGATATGCTCGAATGCTAGTATCTTAACTGTGAACGACGTGACGCATTGAATGGGGACGGCAGGTGGGCAGACGACGTCGCCAGATTTCAGGTATTTGGCTTCGATGTCTGCGAGATGCAGTATGACATTCTGGCCAGCTACGGCCCAGTCTGAGGGTTCTGAGTCGACTTCAAGGCCTTTGATGGAGGCAGTCTGGCTGGCGGGCATTATGACAACAGTGTCGCCAATCTGGACATTGCCAGCATCCAGCCTGCCGGAGATAGAAAGGGGATTCTGCACGCCACCACGGAAGATGTCATCAACGGTCATGCGTAGAGGTTTTTCCAGGGCACGGGTGACGGGCTCAGAGGATTCAAGTAGTGAAATGAGCGGAGCGCCGGTATACCACGAAGCTTGAGGGTCTTCTGCTTTGCGGACAATATTGTCGCCTGTGAGGCCTGCGCATGGGACGAAAGCGAGATTTTTTGCCAGGAAGCCTGCGGTTGTGAGGAAGGCGGAGACTTGCTGGGATATTTCATCAAAGCGGTCTTGGGACCATTGAATGGTGTCTAATTTATTGACTGCGATAACGATGCGTTGGACACCCATGCTGCGGACGAGCAAGGCATGTTCTTTGGTCTGGCCTTTGAGACCCGATTCGAAGTTTCCTGTGCTGGCGTCAATGACAAGGACGGCGAAGTCGGCTTGGCTGGCCCCAGCGATCATATTGGGAATGAAATCTCGGTGACCTGGGGCATCGAGGATTGTGAAGCTGGTACTTTCTGTTTCGAACTTGTTCATGGCAATGTCGATGGTGACGCCCCGACTTCGCTCTTCGGTGCCCTGATCTAGCACCCAGGCTAGAGCGAACGATGCTTTACCGATCCTTTCGGCTTCTTTGCGGTACTTGTCCAGAGTCCTTTGGTCGACCACTTTCAGATCATAAAGGAGACGACCCATCAATGTACTCTTTCCCGCGTCAACATGGCCAATTACCACAAAGTTCGCGGCGTTCTTGGGCTTCGACCTTTCGAATTCCGCCATAACATCGAGGTTCTTCCCCTTCACCTTGGGCTCTTCAATAGCAACAACCCCTACGCCTTGGGAAACAGCATTGACGCTTTCATCGCCGGATGAAGGCTGTGGTGGCTGTTTGACCGGCTTTCTGGTTGGTCTTTTAGTGTTTTGCGCTTTTGTGACAACATCATCAGGGCTTGGTCCTGCAAAATCAAATTCAGCATATGTATCAGGACCTAACACATAACGATCTGAAGTCTGAAGATCATGCTGTTGTGACACTGCAGGGGCGGCAAAGATGGTCTGTGCAAATACTGATGGATCTGCTGCCGGTGTGATCTCAGGCTGTTTCTCGACGTCTGGACTAGCCAGAGAATCCGACTTCTTAAAAGCCTCCTTTGCTGGCTGATCATCCTGTGGCGATTTCAGCCCTTTTGACTTTCGCTTTGGATATTTCCTCGGTTGCTCGTTCATAGTCTGCTCGGTGATCGCAATCAAAGGTTTGGGGCTCGATATATCTGAAGCACTATCGGGCTTTCCTTGTCGTGGCTTGCCACTAAGCTTGTCCAGAAGAGCAACGGAGTTTGTGGCATTCTGTCCATCTTCGGCCCTTTGATTCTCTTTCTTCTTGCGAGCCGCAGCTAGAGCAGCAAGTTTGGACTTTGGGGCACCATCCGACTTTGATGAGCCCCCCATTAATCTACCTCGAGGATATAAAGGCTCAATAAGAATTTCTCCACGGCGGTCCTCTGGGATGTTGAGCCACGGAGAATCGCGGAAAAGGTCTGCAAGCGAGAGCTGAGCGGAGCAAGACGATGAGATCTCGGAAGTTTTTACATGTCCTCCAGTCTTTGAGTCTTGCCGCGAAATATCCGATACTGGTCCGAGGCGCGTTTTCAGCCAAAGGCTCGTGACAGGAAGGCTGCAGAAATCTCACCTCCGAACGGTGTCCCACAGTGCTTGGAAATAAAGTAACGAAAGAGACTATCGAGACTTACCATCTGATTTATTGACGTCCGAATTCACCTTCTGTTTCCTCGCCTTCTTAGGCGTCTGTGAATTTGTTTTTTGGCCTATGAATTTTCAATAAATTATCCCACCGAATCGACCGTCTACCATGTCGTACTTATTAAGTAGTTTACAGTCTTATCAACATCGTAGTAGTAATGCCATAATGAATCCTCAATCTCCCTGTCGGTGATGGATACTTCCGGTCCGAGTACATCCCGTACTTTAGCAGTGCCTAGACGTAAGTGCTCTAGGACGTCAGAGTCAGTCTTTGGTTCGCAAGCGGGCACCCGAGTACGCATCTTCGGAACGAGCAACAAAAGATATATACCTTTGTCCTCGGCACCGACTTCCTCCCCATAATCAGAATCGGCGCCTCCATCGAAGTCATCAAGCTCCTCGTCCAAGTCTAGAGCTTTCACTAACTTGTGTCGAGACATGACCGATGACACAGCAGCTCACTGTAAATTGAAGTAAAGTATAACGATTGTGGCGAGCACCAAGTCACTACTTACTGGCGTGGTTGAGAGAAACAAAGGTGTCGCTTTGGATTTGATATATGTTATATCGTCGACAGACCGCAATGGGACAGGTTGCCAAGCTATCAGAAATGCGCTAGTCTGAATGATCCGGGTAATTACTCCTTAATCCCGGGGGTTTCAAAAAAGCCTGCACACGCCAAGACATCCCCTTATTTTACTCTTTGAAATAACTCCATCAATATTATCTTTACAAAATACTTTTTATGGTGAGACTTATTGTTTTCGATGTAATCTTTGACATATATAGCGAAAGTCTTTCGTTATGACCACTCGTTGACAAGTTGTGATAGATTTGCAGATTATGGGGTGTGTAGGCTTTTTTGAAACCCGCGTAGTCATCGCAGAGGCTACTCGTAACGAGTTGCTTACTCGAGTAGCTCGTTAAAAATCTTAGCGAGCTGATTATATATATATAATAGCTATAGTATATATAATTAAATTAATATTAATATATATAATAAAATAAAATAAAATAAAGCTAAGTTAAAAAAAAATTAAAGTTATATATATAACGAGTAAAGGCCCATGAATTAAATTTATGAATTTGATTTTTTAAGTCAAATCGAATTTTAGAGCCCTATCGAGTAAATAGAACCTAAGCGTATTTGAATTAATCAATATAACTATATTATAATTTAATTATATAATATAAAAGATATCAGAAGGGTAATTATTCTATATAAGATAAAGTGTATATATATGAATCCCACAATATCAAGCCTCGCTAGATAGCTCTAGACTCGTTTCAAGCCGCAGATAAGCGCCGAGTGATGACTTGTGAACCGTGGATAGAGCGATCTTTAAGCTGAGCGATATTCTTGACATGGTGCCTTGTTCGCTTGCGCATTTTGATAATTATAAGATTAAATGGTTTCCCCTTAAATTCTTTCATTTCGGATTTGAGATAGCGTAAACTTGGTCGGGGGCCTATTTTTTTTTTTTTTTTTTATTTCTCCATTTAATATAAAAAAATCTTAAAATTTTAATAGAGGGAATAGGTAAAGTTATTGGGGGTTAAAAGTAGAAGAAAAGATATATATTTTGGAGAGCTAATTGGGGATGCCGCTAAGTTTATCCAGTGTTCTCCGCATGATATCTAGCACTGAATGATTGTGTGAGACCGTGGAGAGTAGGCCTGTTGTGTCACTGCTGCTTTTTTTTTTTTTTTTTTTTTTTTTTTTTTTTTTTTTTTTTTTTTTTTTTTTTTTTTTTTTTTTTTTTTTTTTTTTTTTTTTTTTTTTTTTTTTTTTTTTTTTTTTTTTTTTTTTTTTTTTTTTTTTTTTTTTTTTTTTTTTTTTTTTTTTTTTTTTTTTTGGGTTTTTTTTTTTTTTTTTTTTTTTTTTTTTTTTTTTTTTTTCCCCCCCCTTTGTGGGTTGTTGTTTTTTTGGTTTTTTTTTTTTTTTTTTTTTTTTTTTTTTTTTTTTTTTTTTTTTTTTTTTTTTTTTTTTTTTTTTTTTTTTTTTGGTTTTTTTTTTCCTTTGTGGTTGGGGGGGGGGGGGGGGGGGGGGGGGGGGGGGGGTTTTTTTTTGGGGGGGGGGGGGGGAGGTTTTTTTTTTTTTTTTTTTTTTTTTTGTTTTTTTTTTTTTTTTTTTTTTTTGTTTGGTGGGGGGGGGGGGAAAAAAAGGGGTTTTTTTTTTTTGGGGTGTTTTTTTTTTCTTTTTTCTTTTTTTTTTTTTTTTTTTTTTTCTCATTTTTTTTTTTTTTTTTTTTTTTCCGGTTTTCTATTTTTTATTTTTTAAAAGGGGTGTTTTTTTTTTTGTATATTTTCTCTTTTGGGTGTTAAAGGTAATAAAATTTATAATTAACTACATATATAAATTTAAGGTTTTCTAGTTTAGCCCTATCTTATTCTTTTATATATACTGATTAATTATAAATTTAAAGTTATTATACTTTTTAATTAAATATTATAAATAAATAAATAAATTATTATAATTATTAAAATCTCTCTTTCTACTTTTAATTATTTAATTATTTAATTATTTTCTATTAAAATCTTATAATTTTTTTTAAAACTTATAATACGTAATTTACGTATTTTAATAATTTAAAAATTTAAAAATTTAATCTTATAATTATTTAAAGATAAGAAATTTAAATATTACTTATTAAAAACTTATCTATTACTTTTTATAAATTTAATTTATAAATCTAAATCTATCTAATAATAGAAAATTAATTTATTCTATTAAAATTATATTTAATAATAATTCTATTAAGTGCGTTAACTTGCCTAAGTAGGAAAGCTAATGACGATCGCTTAGGTATTTAAAGTAAGTTATCACGATCATCGCCCGACTGTACTAGACTTACAAGACTTAGATACGTAAATCCTTTTGTATCTTGAAACATACGTTCCCTTACACATGTTAGAATGGTGGCCGCTAACGACCTGGTCTTAGCCATCGATCTTAGCGGCATAGGTATATCCTTTAACTACACCTCTAATAGCGAAAAAGACGACGAGGCCTAGTGCTTCGAGGTGTTTACGCGCGCTGCGGACATCGGTATTACCTTCTAGGACACCTCTGATATCTACAGGCTCTTTACTAATGCGGTCAGCTCACGGCGATGTGTTGCCTCGGTCTTTATCGGTAAATGCGCCTGCGATGCTCGGGCATCAGCTTCACGTGGGGCTGCCTACGTATTCCTCCATGCAGGAACCCCTTTGATGCTTAACCGAGGTTTTATAGCCCGGGGAACCAATCTAGAGGCGAACCTGATATTTGAGAATAATGGCATCGTAAGAATAAGGAGGGTAATATTTAAAGACGATACTATTGAAGGGGTAGAAGATTTGCCTTAAGTGAAAAGTTTATACCCTAAGTAACAACGACGCACCTTACACGCTTAACTCAGCACACCGACGTAACCATGGGCGTCGTCACCAATGGCAACAAGAATGGGACCCTCTTTTCCACCGACATTCTCGCTCTTGCGCTGGACATTGTGAACCACGTGCCCAATATCAAGACGCTGCTCGCCTCCCAGAACCTTCCCGCTCCCAACTTTTCGCCTGACTTGCCCGAGCTGCCCGACACACCCGAATATGCCGCCCTGCGCAGCGGACTCGTGGCCTCGCTCGACGATCTACGCCTGCTCGTCGTCGGCCCGCGGACCACGATGCGCAGCCTGATCGGCTCGAGCAACGACCTGGCCGCCCTCCAGGTCGCCTTTGAGTTTGGCTTCTTCACCATTGTGCCCGTGGCGGAAGCAGAGAGCGTCGCCGTAGAAGACGTCGCCCGGCAAGCGGGCATGGACGCAGGTCGAGCGCGGCAGGTGCTGAGGTTCCTATGCACGCATCGCATCTTCCGGGAGGTCAAGGACGGCTGGTTCGCACACACGGCAAGTAGCGCGGCCTTTGGGCGGGACGAGAACCTGATAGGGCTCGGACAATATTCGTGAGCTTCCTTTCCCCCTTCCCCATCACGTCTCCAAGAGCTTTTCATTTACAAGAACTTACGTGGTTGACGCGCAGAATGGATGATATGTTCAAGTCCGCCTCCTTCGACGGCCGACTGCATCAAGGCGTCCTCTCAAGTCTCTGACCTCGTCCATTCACCCTTTACGACGCGTCTGGGTACGACCATGTTTGAGTACTACGAGAAAAACTCAGAGCACGCTACTCGGTTTGCCAAGGCCATGGCGGGTGTTTCAACCAGCAAGTCTGGAACCTTCTTCTTTGACCGCAATACAATGGCTAAGACCTGACCCCTCAGTCGACCGCAAATCTAGCACACTCGGTGATATGTTTCTATGGGACACCCTAAGGGGCACAGTGGTCGACGTGGGCGGCGGCAGCGGACACGTCTCGATCGCGCTGGCGCGCCGGTTCCCGCACCTCTCCTTCCGTATTCAGGACAGCAAGAAAATGCTCGCCCAGGGCCAGCGCATCCTCGCCAAGGAGGACCCGGCCGTGGCCAGCCGCATCGAACTGCAGCAGCACGCACGACTTCTTCCAGCCGCAGCAGCTCGGCGGCAACTCCGTCGCGGCCTTCTTCCTCCGCCACGTCTTCCACAACTGGGCCAACGCCGACTCGACGGCCATCCTCCGCGCGCTCGTGCCCGGCCTCGAGGCCGCGCCCCGCGGGAACGCCCAGCCTCATCAGCGACAGGGTGCTGCCGTGCCTGGGTGACGGGACGCCGCTGCACGAGGAGCGCGCGATGCGTCGGCAGGACATCATGATGCTGGTGGGACTGGGCGCCAAGGAGCGCACCCGCGCCGAGTGGGAGACCCTGTTCCGGGCGGCCGACGAGAGGCTCGAGCTGAAGAGGGTGCACGCGCAGGGGCAGTCGGCGCTGTTGGAAGTTATGCTGAGAAAATAAGCCACTGTGTGCGTGTATGATAAGAGAGGTACCTCGCGGTTCCGCTTGCCGCGTGCCAAGACGATGAGGGGAATTCGGTTTAGTACCTAGATTGGTAGATGATCTTTCTTGTTGTGTGCGGACACCCAGGTTCAACGTAGTCCTTTATTGGCTCGAACTGAAAAATGTTATCTGATACTAATTATCCTTGATGGTTTAATAGCACGCACGTAATCTGATTTAATGATTTTAATGTAATACCTCGCTGTGTACTTCCTTCTTTTAGTGAAAGTAAAAAGGTATAAAGGGGACTAAATAAGTTGTCAACAAACTCTTTCATTTAGACTTTCTAAGTTTAATGTTTAACTCTCGATATGCATTAATGTCGTCGATATCTAAAAAATCACAAACGTCTAATTTCATGTAAGACCGTGGCCCGAACTTTGGGTTTGAAATTAATGTACAGAGACACAACCGAGGCAAACGATTCAAGCTACCTTTGAGGTCGTTCACCACCCTATTCACCCCCTTCCCTAGAATCGTTTAACCTGACTTAAGCCCCGTGCCGAGTTGATCAATCTATCCAGCAACCACGTAACGTTCAGCCAGCTCGCCCACCGCACCGACGGAGCAAACGCCCCGTGCCAGATGACGCCCCTAGCCCCGCCGAGGATATCCTTAACCAGCTTTTCGGCGAGCACATCGACGTTCGTAGCCTGGCGCTGGTGGTCCATCCGCTCCTTCCACGCCGCGTCCTGGATGCCGTGGTAGTACGACGTCTCGGGCAGGTCCATGGGACCACCGGGCTTACCAAACATGGGCGTGTCGGCGGACCCGCACATGGACGTCACGACGCGCACGCCCAGCGGCTCGAGCTCGACCCGTAGGGTTTCCGACATGCGCGCTACGGCGGACTTGGAACTGGCGAAAATGCCTGATCGAGAGCGCGCGCGCGTCGCCGGGTTAGCCTGACTGCCCAGGGGAGAGAGAGAGAGAGAGAGAGTTGGAAGCGCTGGCCGACGGAGACTTACCCGCCCACACCATGTTCAGAGCCCCGTCGATGGAGCTCTGGTTGAAGACAACTCCCTTGGCCTCGATAAGCAGGGGCGCAAACGCCTGGACCATGGCGAGAGGGCCCCAGACGTTGACGTCGTACAGCCTCTTCGCCTCGGCGACGTCGGTGTCCAGCAGTGGACTGTTGAATTCGACGCCGGCGTTGTTCACCAGGACGTCGAGGCGCCCGCCCGTGCGTTTCGCGACTATCTCCTTGCAGTGCGCGATGGTCTTTGGGACGGTCACGTCTAGCTCGAGGATCTCGATGTCGCTCAGCTCGGCGAGGTCGGCCGTCTTGGAGGGATTACGCGCTACAGCGAAGACATAAAACCCCCGCTGGTGAAAGTTCTTGGCCATGGCCCAGCCGATGCCGCCGGTGCTGCAGCCCGTGATCAAGACCGTCTTCTTCAGTACAGTTGCCATATTATAGTGGTTATTGGTGTGAAAGACGGCGAAATGGATGATACGTTTTTTTTTGACAATAATAATAAGCGGAAGCTCCAATCTTGCACAGCAGCTGATGGAATTATATCGGGCAAATTACCGAATCATACCCCGAAAGTACGAATCCTTACCGAATCATACCCCGACACTAAATCACACCGAAAAATGTGGTATGATTCGGTAATCTGCCATTGCTTGGGATATAATTTGACGAGGATTTTAAATAATAGCTTTCTAATATAAGACGATCTGATAGATAGCGGTAGCGGTAGTAATAGGCTTAATCTTACTAAACGTCTAGTAGTAGTCGTCAACTCGATTATTGATGACGGTATTATTACGCTGCGTAACGGAGCGGGGCTCGAGGCGGGGTTTGACCCCCGAAGCCTACCCCGTCTCGCCCCGTTTCGGGGTCCATTGCCCCGTTGCGTAGATACCGTATTATTAAGAATTATTCCTTCGGGGGCCCTACGGGGCCCGATATAGGCCCGAATAGGGGTCTCTGCAGCGTGAAATGCGGACACTCCCGGGCTCGAAATTTCGCCTACTCGGCTTTCGTCTGATGTTTTTAGGTTGATAGAATTCTTATTAAATGCGATCGAAGAAACTCTTATTAAACGTATTTAGTAACTAGAAAATTAAGAAAATTAAGAAGATTTTTAAGAAGATAAATTATACTATATTCTTTATTCTATCTAACTATATCGACTTTATTTAAATTCTTAATATAATTTTTTTTTTTTTTTTTTTTTTTTTTTTTTTTTTTTTTTTTTTTTTTTTTTTTTTTTTTTTTTTTTTTTTTTTTTTTTTTTTTTTTTTTTTTTTTTTTTTTTTTTTTTTTTTTTTTTTTTTTTTTTTTTTTTTTTTTTTTTTTTTTTTTTTTTTTTTTTTTTTTTTTTTTTTTTTTTTTTTTTTTTTTTTTTTTTTTTTTTTTTTTTTTTTTTTTTTTTTTTTTTTTTTTTTTTTTTTTTTTTTTTTTTTTTTTTTTTTTTTTTTTTTTTTTTTTTATTTTTTTTTTTTTTTTTTTTTTTTTTTTTTTTTTTTTATTTTATTTTTTTTTTATTTATTAATTTTTTTTATTTAAATTTTTTTATTTTTTAAAATTTTTTTAAAATATATTTTTTTTTTTTTTAAATAATTTTTTTTTTTTTTTTTTTATTATTTTTTAAAAATTTTTTTTTTTTTTAAAAAAAATTATTTTTTTTTTTTTTTTTTTTTTTTTTTTTTTTTTTTTTTTATTATTTTTTTTTCTTTTTTTTTTAATTTTAAATTTTTTTTAAATTTAAATTTTTATAATTAATTTAAAAATATATTATTATTTAGAAGAATTTAAGAATTTTAATAAGAAAATCTTAAATATTAATAAAGTTAAATTATTTATAGATAATGAGAAAAAGCGTTCTATCTTTAGAAGATATATTATTAATTTTAATTTAAGTTATATTAAAGTATAATTTATAAATATTATTAAAAAAGGTTAATTATAATCTTTATCTTTATTATTAACTTATAGAATTTTATAAAAAGCGCTATTAAAACTTTTAATACTTAATATAATAAATTAAAAATATTAATAGAAAACTTTCGAATTATTAATTATAATATTAAGATATTTTAATAATAAAATAAAGAATTTAATTATAATATCGTTTAAGCTAAGATAGAGATATTAATAATTATTATCTAGCTAAATAATAATAATAACTAATTATTCTATAAGTAAGAAATTAATAATAAACTTTAAGATTTATATAATAAATATTATATTAATACTATAAAACTTATTAAAGAAAATAAAAAATTTAAGTAAGATTTAAAATATAAAGAGTAATAGCTAAAGAAGTAATAATCTTATATATTAATTAATTTAAAAAACTTCGATAAGAAAGATATAGAGATTATATCTTATTAGTTAAATATTTCTATTAATAATATTTATTAAAATTTATATTATATCTTTATTATAAATTATATAAAGAGTATAAAATTAAATAAATAATATTTTAATATCTCGAATTTTTATAATATTAATAATTAAGATAAGTAGAATAGCTAGCGTTAATATCTTAAAGCGAAATTTAAATAAAATATTATAATCTTTTTTATTAAATTTAAAAAAATTAATTATATATAAGATTATTATAAGTTTACTATATATAATATTATTAAAATAAAAATAAATAAAAATATCTTAAATTTATATTAAATTATTTAAGAAATAATTAATAAATTAGATAATATATTTAAAATATATAATAAGATTATTTAATTAGATATTAAGATATTTAATTTTAAATTTAATATAAAAATAATATATAAAAAGAAATTATTTAAGAATTTTTATATATAATTCTCTATAGCTATTACTCTTTTTAAAATTTATTAAAATTTATAAAATATTTAATTTAAAATAATTAATCTCTATACGTCTAAAATATTAGATTTTAAAATATTTTTTTAATACTTTTTAAGAATTAATTATTTTTCTATAAGTATTAAATATAAATCTCTAAACTATTAATAACGCGTTAGATTTAAAAAGTAAGAAAAAGATTAATAAAACTAGTAATAATTATAAAAAGTCTATTCCCTTAAATAATTAATATAATTCTTTCTCTATTAGAAGAAATAATAATATTATTATTAAAAAATTTATATATAAAAATATAAGTATTCTAAGCTATTAATAAATAGAATTTAAAAAAAAAACTTTAAATACTTAAAAATTAGATATTATTTTAACGATAATAATATTTTATATAAAAATATAGATTTATTAATAAAAGAATAGATTAATATAATTCTAAAAGTTATCGATATAAAGAAGAATATCTTTATTAAATTATTATAAGAATTAAAAAATTAAATATTTCTAATTAAATCGTTATTAGAGATCTAAAAGCTTTATATATAAAAATTAAAGAGTTAGAAATAGAAAGAATACTCGCTTTTATCTCTCTATTCGCGTATATTATTATTATTAAAATCTCTTTATAAAATAAACGCTAATTAAACTTTTATAAAAAAATTATTATATTAATAAGATAAATTAAAATTAACTATTTTTTAAATATTAAAACTTTAATATTAAACTTTATAAATATATCTTTTATTAAAATAAATAAGCTATTTAAAATAATATTAATATAATTTTATAGATTATAATTAATTAATAATAAATTTATCTCTATTCTTAATATTATATATATAATTCTAATAAAATTTATTTTAGAGAATTATATAGAAAAACTTTAATACTTAATTATCTTATTAAAATAATTTAATATTATTTTAGAAATATTATAATTAAAATAATATAATTCTTATATATTCTTTAAATTTAGAATTATTATATTTAATTTAAATTATTATATATTTAATTATTTATTATATAATAAATCTATTATTATTTAGAATAATAATAAATTTTTAAAAAAGAATTTAAATTATATAATAAAGATTATATTTAAAAAAGAATATAATAAAAATTTTTATTTATATCTTTATTAAGATAATTAAAAAAT